ATTAAACAGATTGTGAAAGAAAAAGTAATGATCAATTAAACAGATTGTGATAGAAAAAAGTAATGTCCAATTAAACAGATTGTGAAAGAAAAAGTAATGGTCAGTTAAACAGATTGTGATAGAAAAAGTAATGATCAATTAAACAGATTGTGATAAAAAAGTAATGTCCAATTAAACAGATTGTGAAAGAAAAAGTAATGGTCAGTTAAACAGATTGTGAAAGAAAAAGTAATGATCAATTAAACAGATTGTGAAAGAAAAAGTAATGGTCAGTTAAACAGATTGTGATAGAAAAAGTAACGGTCAGTTAAACAGATTGTGATAGAAAAGTAATGTCCAATTAAACAGATTGTGAAAGAAAAAGTAATGGTCAGTTAAACAGATTGTGATAGAAAAAGTAACGGTGTGATAGAAAAAGTACTATCAATTAAACAGATTGTGAAAGAAAAAGTAATGGTCAGTTAAACAGATTGTGATAGAAAAAGTAACGGTCAGTTAAACAGATTGTGATAGAAAAGTAATGTCAATTAAACAGATTGTGAAAGAAAAAGTAATGGTCAGTTAAACAGATTGTGAAAGAAAAAAAGTAAACAGATTGTGATAGAAAAGTAATGTCAATTAAACAGATTGTGAAAGAAAAAGTAATGGTCAGTTAAACAGATTGTGAAAGAAAAAGTAACGGTCAGTTAAACAGATTGTGATAGAAAAGTAATGTCAATTAAACAGATTGTGAAAGAAAAAGTAATGGTCAGTTAAACAGATTGTGATAGAAAAAGTACTATCAATTAAACAGATTGTGATACCAATTATTGTGATTGCCACTTATACTTATACTTATACAGTGACTTTTGAGTTTCCACACTTTTAGTATTATCTTGAAATATCATTAAAGGCCAGTCTCGAAATAATAGTCTTTCTCTAGCAGCTAATGTTATGTGTCTTCTATCAGCGTGATCCAACTGGCAGTCAATGTAACTGATTCATTCAAATCAGTTATGTTAAATGACATTAACATTGTATATACCCCTCACCCCCACCCCCCTCCACCCCCACCCCTCCATCCTCTGACAAATGGAAATTGAATAAAGGGGATATGCATAATAAAACTACTGTAAAATATTTGTGTATAATTGCATAATTGCAAACACCACAACGATACAGAATTAGTTTGACAATAAACATTGCACGCCTGTTAAGAGGAAACGGAAATAAACGAGGAGTGTGTAAAATCACACAAGGCGAAGCTTCAAAGGTTGAAACTTAATGTAAAAAAAATATGTCTATATCTATATGTATATATTACTTTGGGGCAAATTCTGAATTTGTAGTATTTCATATTTTTCCATTTTTCAAAAACATGTAAGGCACTTCCAGTTCGCTCTGGTTGCCCACAAAAAGACGCCGGGCGAAAAAACGAAAGCTTGCAAAAGCGGAAAACCGATGTTTATAAGACATTGACAGAAAATGCAAAAAACAAATGAATAATTTAATAAGGACATTTCTTTGTTAGGATCAGCACTGAACGCATAATTTAAATATATATGTATATGTTAAAGGGTCTTTCAAACTGAGCTACATGAACGAACTCTGAATTAGGGAAATCAAAAATGTAGCTGATGTACACGTATTTTATTTGAATTTACAAAACACAAGACTGAAATCGTCATCCTTCACTTTCAGTACAAAGCAGAATAATTCTAAGATATTTCAGAATGTAAAGTTACGTTGTTGATGTAGTAACAATTACATGTACCTGATATGAAATTAAACTTCTTCGGTAATAACGGATGTGAACTATCAAATACATTATGTCTGTCTGTCTATAAAGAAAAGATGTTATAGTAATTGTTTAGGAGTAACGGGCCTTTGGAGTATCGGACCTTAGGAGTAACGGGCCTTTGGGGAAACGGGCCTTTGGAGTAACGGGCCTTTGGAGTATCGGACCTTAGGAGTAACGGGCCTTTGGAGAAACGGGCCTTTGGGGGCCTTTGGAGTAACGGACCTTTGGAGTATCGGACCTTTGGAGTAACGGACCTTTGGAGTATCGGACCTTTGGAGTAACGGGCCTTTGGAGTATCGGATTTTTGGAGTAATGGACCTTTGGAGTATCGGATTTTTGGAGTAACGGGCCTTTGGAGTATCGGATTATTGGAGTAATGGGCCTTTGGAGTATTCGGCCTGTTTTTCTGTTCATGTATCACGGAACATATTCCATATAACATTATATGAACGAGATGAGTGTTGCCATATTTTTCTCTGTATATCGTAATATTCATTCAATTTAACAAATGAGGGAGATGTTCTCTTTAAAATCTTTAGACTTTGCATGTTGAAATTAACACCTAAATATTTTCGGAAATGCACACTTAACCGTAGATATGATAATGAATATCTTTAAATATTTTCGACGTACTTTTACGGACATAAAGAAAAAAAGAAGAAAAAACACATTTAATATCAATGGAACTGAAACTGTTGACAGCCATGTTGTCTTTTAAAGGCATTATATGTGGAGAGAAGAGAGAGAGGCGATGATAAATTGCAGTACGCTGTTCCAAACCCCATCTATAATTCATAACTATGTAATATATTTCAATCAAACAATTTTTGATTGATATAAGGTGTTCAATCATTATGTACACATAAGCTTAGCGCTTCAAAGCTGTGTAATCGATACGTGTATCTGTCTAACTGTCATATCAGTTTCATTTTTATCTTCTTGTATTTCTTTTTTAAAAATAGTGTAACAGAAGGCAACAAAGCGAAAAGACAAAAGTACAGAAACCCACCAAAGCGAAACAACGAAAAGACACAAAACTGGAGTTTAAAAAATGCCATTTTTATTTTATTTTGTTTTATTGATTTTTTTTATCCCAGTTTAGCATCTTTTTGATATTTCACTTTGGTGGGTTTCCGTGGGCAACAAAAATAAAAGACGAAATGTCAGGCTTAAACAACCATATTTCAGGTAAATGTATCTATTTTGTCGTCCCAGACAATCAGGCGTTAACGATTCTTATTAGCTGAGAGGTAAGCAACTTAATTCTGTAAGGTTTATCTGACCTAATCTACCTTACAGACAAGGAACTCAACACTGTAAGATTATCTAGATAAAACGTTAAATTATCTTCAATCTGACCTAATCTACCTTACAGACAAGGAACTCAATACTGTTGCTAAACATTGGAGGTTAGGAAAGTGATTTCAATTGTCAAAATAGCGTTACCTCAGAGAGAAACAAAAAATCCGAAGTCAGCTTAAGGTAAGGATAACATAGGTTTGAGGTCAGATACTTTATAAAGGTTTAAGATAGACAGGTGCTTATGAATCAGTCATTTTTATAGAGTTATAAATACCAGACTACCAGAAATACCTATACACGTGTCGTGTTTAGCATTAAGATTAGGGTGCAGCAGTAAGACAATGGACATAATTGTGACACTCTATCAACTTTATCTATTTGCTTTATCAATCAACTTTATCTATTAGTTTTATCTATTAGCTTTATCTATTAGCTTTATCTATCAACTTTATCTATTAGTTTAATTTATTAGCTTTATTTATTAGCTCTATCGTTTTCCTTTTTATATCAGACTGAAGTTTTCGAAGGTTTTTGAAAAATAAAAAAAAAATCAGATAAAATTTGAAGTTTGGAAGATCGAAATCGACTTGTTGGAATAGATGTTTTTATTTGTTTTGATTCTTTGCTAATTTAATGTTTTGCAAAACACATCTTTATTTTTGTAACGTGGGTGGCTTTATTGTAAACACTTTGGACTTCTTCAGCTCTTTGTCCCCAGAAATTTCTCAGGATTGTACAAACAACCGCTTGTTTAATCATCTCAACAAGTTCTTTTTGAAATTATTCTGAATTAATGAATTTTTAACATTATATTCTTCTGAAAAATATCTTGAGATTAATGAGAAAATCAATTGAGTTATTCAAAGATGCAGCAATTCATCGTTTATTTACTTGGCTTCACTCAATGTTTCATTACGACAATATTGAATAACACTATGATTAACTGCCGCAAAGTCGGGCGTACAGAAGTAGACACAAACAGATGAAGTCGGATGACAGACGGACAGATAAGTATACAGTATATCAAATGCGAAACATATTATATATATATTTCTTTTTATCGCTTATGTATTCAAACATTTAGGACCAAGGGGTCTCATTGCTTGAAGACACAACCAAGAAAACAAATGTAGTCAAAGGGAGGAGAACACAGAGTTGTACAATATGCGATGTGCGCGATGTGCCCGCGATATGAAAACTGGATGAAATAAGTTATTGCACATTTGCGCGCAGAATGTGCGTTTTTATCGCACAAAAACATGATTCCAGCCTTATTAGAACTGATCTGTAGATATGTGTGTTTGTCACATGGACGATCTAACCAGTACGGATCCGAACCAGTCAAGTATATACACGTATACAGGTAACACTTGTTGCACGAGGCACAACACAGGCGCCTTCTAAGGTACGATAACGATACGATAAAAAATCATATCTTTGCATGGGATATGCAGTGTTATTTCGAAAACTTTCGAATTAAAAAAGACTTTCATAATTACCGAACAGTGTTGATTCTCCTTGTTCGTTATATAGTCACAGCTTCATAGGTTTTCAATCCGTAATATTAGCCAACCATTTTACATTTTACTGTGCCAACTTATCGCAAAGTTGAGCACTAGATTGATATATATTGTGTGCGCACGATGTGCGGACAAGGTACGCACGATGTGCGTGTGATATTTTTTGGCGTTGTGCGTCATCACAACTGTATCTTATCACAGCTTGTCTAGGCAATTTCCTCAAACCACCTTAGTGAAAGATCAGAACCTTATGACCACGCAAATACCCTGTCATCTAAATTGTACTAGGTTTCCATATTCTATTAATAGTTAAATAGCTACATATCACATATTCATTGAAAAAAAAATGCAAAAGAATTAACATAACATTACTTATTAACGCCTGATTATTTGTTATTCTAGATAGGCGTCCATACTACTGGTTTACCTGGAAATCTACGCCTTATTGTTGTCGTCAATATTTTTACATGCTCGGCTATTGCTTTAGCCAGTGCACCACTGTATAACCTTTCCGTATCGATCTTATTCTTGTGTTGCCTCCGAAACTTTCCCTCGAGGTTTTTCTTCAAACACATTTTGTCAGCTTCCGTCATTGTAAAATTAAGAAAGCGTATTGCCTGTTCTATTTGTAAGACTGGGTTAGCTTTCAGCTCTTCGTAAAAGACAATATGTAGAGGATTGCGATATCTTTTAACCCAATCATTATTCAGATCAAACCACAAATGAACACGCTCCTCTGCAAAACGTACCCAGCCTGTAAAAATATGTATAGAAATCATAAGTGCCAGAATTCTCAGCTTAATGTATTTATACTTACAAGCATAGAGAGCAAAAAATAAGGAAAGATTAGTTAATACACAAGTTTAAGAAAGTATTTTCTTTACAATAACATCACTTAAGTAAACGTTTAAAAATAAACATGAAACGCTAAACATACATGTACAAAATCACGATATATCATGTCCATGGTTTTGATTCATATTGGTAATTTTCAATTGTTTGCATACACTCACTATCTGCCTGTAAAGCTAGTTCAGTACAGAGATTAGTAAACTATTTTTAGACATAAGGAGTCTATATACTTAACCACTTAAAGGCTTTGTTCAGAAGAAGTAAAGGTAATTTTACATCGGTGAATATGAAGTTATTAACATTGATTTTCTTTGATACGTATCGCCTTAATCGTACATTGCGCTATATAGGAACAGGGGGTACGTTTATTTTGGAACGTTGTGAAGTGTACAGTTTTACCTTATTAAATATAATTAAGTGTACATTAAGATTTAAGAAAACTTTGACTTCATAAATATAGTGATGATTAACAAAATTAATCGTTTATTTTCAAATAACGTGACATAAACAGGAACATTGCCAAATTCATAACATGAAAAAACTTACGATCTGTGTGAAACAGATATGGACGCGCTTCCCGAACGTGTCTTCCACCATTGAAAAAATGAAAGCTAGACAAAATGGAGTCTCGAGGATGTCGTAATATCAAAATGGCCCGGTCATAAAAGGTTTGATATTCTGTATGCCATTCATGTGTTTTAATGACAAGACATGTCTTTATTCTTGTACATTTATTTTCACCCCAAAATCCGTTCATTTGCAGCTCTCCGTCATTATATATACTGCCGGTACGTATACCTGAATATAGCAAATGCATTAAATGTCTTAGAGATATGTGGTCTGTCAGTAGAGATTGATTTTGATACATGGAGTTTGTGTACAGGGGAAAATATCGACATCATACTACCTCGTTGACAACTTTTTGAAGGAATATATGCGAAAACGCGTTTAAGTAAAGGCGACACAAGTTTAACATGTGCTATCAAACTAAATTTCTGGACATTGAGGAACTTAGGTAGATGACGGTTTTGGCAATATCTACTCTACCATCATTGACATAATTACTTTTCTGGGTAATTATTTGGAATAAACATTTTTAAAATACATTAACGTAAATGGGACATACTATTTGTGTGATTCTTCTATAAAACAGCGGAATTCTAAAGTATGTTTGCCTTCAACATTTACTGAAATGTTATTTTGATGGGTTTTTAAAGAAACACAGCCGTATGTTTTATACCTGTTGCTTGTTGAAGTAAATGGCGTGTCCATGTGTTTCCTGATCCAGGCGAACTAGCTAAGGCTGTCCTGGGAAGGTGTGAACGTGATAACGAAACGAAATCTCTCTTACATCTCTTATGCACGCTATTAACCTGACGTCGATTTCTTAGTGTCTCTGGTGTTCTGTCTGTTACTTCGTTTTCTGCTACTTTCGGTTTACGTGTTGGAGTGTTGTACAATATTCGATTCACTCTTATAAGATGTTTCGTTCTATTTTTTGATGCTTTTTGTACCTCATTCTGGTCAAATAACTGTGTTTCCTTTATTTTTGTCCATGGTGATTGATGATATTGTGTGTCTTTGTTTTCTTCATGTTTTCTTAGACCTGGGAAAGCACTGACACTGTGGCCAAGCTCCAAGATTTGATAGCTAGTTTTACGTTGTCTAACATCATCGGGGATGCAGATGTGGTCACCACAAAAAATGTTCAGGCAATAATACAACACTGTACCAGCGGTCAGCGAATACAGCAATGTGACAACCGTCAGAAGTCCAATGTATCGTAACCGGAAGTTGGATCGCATGTTACATCGGCTTACTATAGACAAAGAAAGTAGCAGTCTCCAAACCTTCTCACAGTACGCGGTAAAAGAATTCCTCTGTACTGTTTAACTGTGTCCTCACAACAGATTATCTGTAGATTTTGTACAACTGATTACTCATTAGTTTTGGTTTTGACTTAATCTGTGTGTTTGTTGTAGTTACACTCCATCATTGTCCGCGGGTTTCCATGATCTTCTGACGCAGTCTAATATTTAGGAATGGCATTTTGCAAACAGTATCCTTCCGAATATTCTTCTAGATAACGAAACGAATACAACTACCAAGACTGGACACAGATGTATACTCGCCTTTGTGATTCGTGCCTTTATCAATCTTGTGAAATGATGTTATATTGTTATATATCTTCGTTATAATGAAGCACGCTATATAGAATACAATACTTTCCCTGTGACATATGTTGTTAAAAATACAGACTAACCAACAGCTGTATTTCAACTTAGGGTCAAAGGTCAATATAATTTAAGTAAACAGAAGTATATCCAGTGCCTTATTGGTTGCGTTACAATGCTTTGGTAAAAGTGCTCGGGTCTTCCGTGGTTTCCCGTAATCTACATGTCCCGTTTTAATCCATAGAAATAGTTATTTGATTCAAAATAAACATATGTAGCTGACGATTTCTTTATTTGATACAATCCATTATCGTTTTTTGATGTTATTGTAATCATTATGGTGCTAGTGCACACATTCCTCCATCCACATTACGGCCAATGTTGATTTTTCTCCGTCGCCACGAAGTAATCAACACTTTATACTATTAGTTTGCAGCTGTATCATTCAGTTTGAGTCATTGTTTCGCTCTACTGTAAATTATCTAATTATGTTCGAGATAAGTATTGGAAGGTCCAACTATCTTGTGCGTCTTTTGGTTCTGAGAACGTCAGAAATTTGTTTCAGAATAAAGAACTTTATTTGGCAAATCAGATTGTTCTAATACGTCTACAAGAGAATATGCATGTGTCGATAATATCGTAATTCAAATCTTAAATCAAATTTTGAAAAATGAAAAATGCTTTACATGGGAAACTTTGGTAAAATACAGGAACGAACTGTATTAAGACAAGATGTTCGAGAAGGTTAATCTTCTTCTTTATCAGAGAAACCTGTATAAGCGTGAAATAATTTCAATTTCCATATTGCAATTTTTTACAAGATAGAAATATATCATATGTCTGTTTCCTCAACCTACGATGTCTACAAAGGGAAGTTGCTGATATCAAGGTCTGGCAGGTCCACTAATAACACAGGGTTGTAGGTTGATGAAGATCTCAGGGAAAGATTGACGAAAGTAATAAGCATTCCCGTTAATATGTCTGGTGATACCATAGGTAACCTGGTATTTGTTTTAGTTTCAAGTGCGAATGTATTGACATATAGTACTTACTGCGATTCGTCTAACACAAAAATTGTCATATTCTAAAACTAAGAGCCTGGTTGATAGGAACGAAACCAGTACCAAACGAAGTTCGTTCAAAACAGATATTGTTTAAATGGTAACAATATATATTTTATACTGACCTGCGATTTTCCAGTAAATAAAAAAAAAGCTGAATATTTCTGGAAGAGTTAAGCTGCCATAATTCATATATGCATGCATGGATAAAGGAGATAACTATACCTGGTAATATGTCAGCCTTGTTTTGTTCATAATTCACAATTGTGTTAAAGATCAACATACTCAATGATTTACATAAAAGGCATAACAGAACGCAATATACATCATCACCCATAATGCTACACAAAAGATGCGTCCAAATTGGCTCAGATACTGTATAGTCCTGTAGATGTGCTATCTATGTTAGACAAATTCTCAAATCATCACATATTACACAACGGTTACAGCAGTTGTATGTCATGCTAAAAATTAAAATGTGTAAAGAAAAGCGTTTTTATCTGGACCCAAACAGACGCGTCATTTCATATATGATTGTATGGTAGCTGTATTTAAACTTACTGGCATTGCCTATAACAAAAACCTTTGCCTTTTTTCCCGAATGCTAAACATGAAAGAATAAGTTATCTTTAGTACGGATTCACGTACACGGGCTTGAAGTGATTTCCTAGTATTTTTGGTTTTGATTTGTTCACAATCTTCATGTTTATTACTTGCCATGAATACCCCTGTACTGGTGATCCGAAGCTGGTCTTATTAATCTGTTAAGATCGAGGTGACAGCTTGAATGAAAATCATCAGAAAATAAAATGATGTTGAGTTCGACAATGAGAGTAAATATTAGAAATTCACCATTGCTCAGTGAAAATATAACAATAAGTATTGCAATACAATATTGGATGTCAACACAAATAATGCCATTTCTCGTCACGCTCTGCTAAGTATCGTTTATTGTCATGGCATACATCTATCTGTCACGCACCAATGAATCTAGAAGTAGTGCAAACATCTGTGATTAAGTCGTTTAGTGTATATACAAGCATAGTATTGACTTCTGCCCACTTTAAGTACCGTTAGCCATTTCTGTAATCTAATCACTGTGAATGTTCAGTGTACAGTGAAAGATTTTAGGTCGTCAACAATATTGTGAAAGTCGTGCGCCTGACCTTCTCTTCCGAATGCATTGTAATAATATTCATATTGTAATATTTCATTATAATATCTCTGTCAGAGCGAAATGAAGAGTAGTATGAAGATAATATTGTAAATTAAATAATACAAAAACGTTATCAATAAGTCGTCCATATTTATTCAAAACTATGTTAACCTTGTATATTATAAAGTGAGATATGTAGATATTATATATATGATATGTTTTCTCATTTTCTATCAAACATTACAATAAACACCACGAGTGACTACGAGACAACAAGAGCGCGTGCAATGTGTACGATTGAGGGACAGACCGACAGATTTTGGATATTTCCTTCAGCGTCAGACAAAACACACCAATATCAGTGATGAACGAGTTGTGGAAACTTTTGACCGAGATGGTATCTCGTAGACTGATACATAGCCATGGATTCAATCGTCAAACATTTACACTGTTATGTCATAAAATCATCCAGCAGAAACCTAGATAAGTAGACGGACATCAGACTTTAATTCTCGCTTGTTGCAATTTCTATAGCCCTTTACGTTCGGTATATAAAAAGTAAAACATGTAACTTTTTTTTTATTGCTGAATTCATCAGTGTTGTCTGTAAGTCACAGTTTTATGAATAAACAATAGTATATGTAATAAGAGCAAATAAAGAATGTCTGTCTGTCTGTCTGTCTGTCTGTCTGTATGTATGTCTATGATATTAAATTGTTTTGTGACTCAACACAGATTTATGATCTTTTTCTTTTAAAATCTGAAATTGTTTCTAATGCTGTTTGACCAAAGCATACTGCAATAGTTATGGAGAATGTGGTTATAAAAGGAAAATATATAATTCTTAATAAAGAAAAAAACCCTCATGGTGGTGTGTCTAAAACAAAGCTTGATTTGATAGTAATGCCTTGTCATAGTTAAATCGATGTAATTTATTTACCTCGATGCAAAATTTGTTCGTTATCTATAAGTAAATTTCTTATGTATAAATATCAAATTTTGAACGATGGCCTCCCATTAACATATTGTTCACCTGTAGAATAGAAGTTCTTATTACACAACCAATAGAAGATTTGTGTGTGGCGTTTCGATCAACTTTTTCTGCTGCATTATAATACTATGTACACTAAGGTTGAATGTAGTGTGACAAGACGGCACATATATGACCAAGTGTTACGCAACGGGTAGCCGGATTGACCACAGTACATTGCTACCATCTGGTGTATTTTTGGTCTATAATCTGTTAACCATTTCTTCACACCGTATTCAGCAATAGGATTATAGTGCAGTCGAAAACGTTGGCTGATTCCGTACCATCTAGTACACTACCTACGTCAGTGCTTCTACGCTCCACACTGGTCATTTGTCTGATGAAGGTGACCGTGTAGATCTCGTACACTACCTACGTCAGTGCTTCTACGCTCCACACTGGTCATTTTCCTGATGAAGGTGACCGTGTAGATCTCGTACACTACCTACGTCAGTGCTTCTACGCTCCACACTGGTCATTTTCCTGATGAAGGTGACCGTGTAGATCTCGGACACTACCTACGTCAGTGCTTCAACGCTCCACACTGGTCATTTTCCTGATGAAGGTGACCGTGTAGTCATCGAAACGTCATACTCTGATCTTCTAATGGTTGTGTTATAAGAACTTCTATTCTATTGACATTACCAACCTGAAGAAAATGTTCCAAAATATTTTTAATCTGGACGTCACGTCAGTGCTTTGCACTTCGTCTCCGATAAAAAGCATTTCGATGATACAGCGAACAAAACAATTTTGAATTTGTAAAATAAAAATGTGATGACGTTTTGAATTATATCAGAAATGTAACTACAAGCATTGAACGTCGGTCTGATTGCATTTATTACCAACATGAATGCAATCTGGGTGACAAATACATGATCCTGACTGCCGTTACGATGTCCCACTAACCAGGCATCCAGATTGCATTCATACTGACAATAATTCGTCACAAAATGTTTCAAGCTGTGCTTTCTGTTGCACTTTTTTTTATCGCATACATTCATATCAACGCCCCGACAAACCTAGAAGATAGAGACGAAACTGACCGTAACACATACCAACTATAGCCATTTTACTCAATCTTATGATGATGAACGTGTACGAGTACAGAGCAGAATGCTGTTATATTGCTTTTATACAATTAACTCGAAATGCGTGTTATCGGTTTTGATCAATGTTATCAGGAAAAGTGTCCAAATGAAATAAAAATCGTGAATTTCGCCAAATACCTTGATACAGAATACTCACGTTTTCAATACGGTGTAGTGATACAGTGATTAATTATATAACTATTTATTGTGATAAACATAAAAAGAAAACTGAAGAAACGAAATGAGGAATTTGTAGTTAATGCAATACAGAACCAATATATATATATCAATCGATAATCAATACGTAAAACATAGTATTTTGTACCATTGACTATGTATATATGTCTGTGAGGTTTTGAATTTAATTATACAGCTGGCTAGTTTTAACACTGTTTTACAAATTCATCATTACGGTTACTGAAATAGGACTTATGTTCCGTAAAGAGAACACGTGACCATAACAAATTCCTTTAAATCGTCGTACACTAGGTATTGCATAACGGAGTACTTCGTGATACGTAAACATATCTCTTATTAGGAAGAATGTTTTAGCGCGTTACTTGTTGGAAGGGAGATAACAATGACAGACCAACTGACAATTATGCAACAGGATTCATTTCCAAAGGTAAGCTAACGATTTCTTACGCAGATATGATAACCATAATATTGTGATTGGTTTCTTCACTACATGAAGAGAAAACAATTCACAATTGAACTTTTTGAAAAAGCCAAAATTTGTACGGGCTGGTTTGAGTTTCACGCAGGACACTTGATTTTCCAACTTACTGGTACAATTGATACCTGTCGTTAGAGACAATTATTCCAAACTGTGATTCAGCAAATTATGTCGTAAATTGAGACAACTGAAATTCTTACTGTGATATAATAACGATTATTAAGTATCATCAACAACTCCTCTTCCTGAAGTGAACCTTACACAAACGACTTTCAACAATTAAATGATATACCTGTGGAAGAATACATATTAAAGTGGACATATGGGTTGTTTGATTACATTGTAGTTATATACTTACATTCATACATTAATCAGTTTTCGAGAGGACAACATTTTTAAGCATGAGATCAAATTTATCGTGTAGAGGAACTTCACTAAAGAGATAAGTCACATGTAAAGATAGGAATACGCTACAAGGCCATCATCTGAGGGATATGTTCATACAATAAGCACTCTGGCGCGATCACATGATTGTGGTTATAATACAAAATGTTACTATAATTCACTCAGCTTTAACTAAAAACTAGTTGATTACAGAAAGTTCTTCAAATTTGCACATGTAAAGAAAATTCTAAACATGTGAATCTTCTGCCAATTTTCTGTCATATTATCTAAAGATTGTTGAACATTTTCATTAATACATTCTCTATCCTGTAACATTCACAAGTTATATTCGTACTGCAATGTGAAGGGAAATACACTGCTACCACAGCTGTAACTGCAAAATGATCCTGACAAACTAGAATGTACGTGGCTGTGTAAATATATTTTGTTTACATTTTATGTGAGGTACCTATTCCATTTGCTCAAAAGCACTGTATTAATAATATATAGGAACAAGAGTCAAAATACATGTTCGCTGGCGATTTCATAAATAATACAGATTAACTTATATGCGTTGTATACGTTTCCGAATAAATGATAATTTTTGATAAAGTCATTTTACACATGGTACTATATATCACCGGTACATATGACATCAAGTCAACACAATTAGGTTTCCTTTACTTTTGTTAGCCGAGCGGCAATCTTCAGGCGCAGGTTTAATGTCTTAGTCATAGCGTTGTGACAGAACACAATTGTGATTTTACAAGAAAATACTATCGTTATCAGTGGTATAGCGAACTATTTTTTTATGTGTGAAGCTCACGTCAACCTGTCCGGTTCGTATAATCTTTTTGTAGAAGTCGTATCCGTCATCTCACAGAAAAAGTTATACCAAAACAACCTCCTGCAACAAGTATCAACGCGTGCACTTTTCTCGTGTCTGGATACCTCTTGTGGACTCGTACTCCCCACGAGAATGAATTTCTCGTATGACTGATTTTTATCCAGCAATGTGCTACGTGATAACAGTGCTGAAACTAGAATATTAACAGCAACCATATGAAGAGGGTTATGTTGACTTTATATTTCCGCACATGTCCATGACAATATAAGTCTTCAAGAGCATGCAAAATGTTAACATTATGAATATATTTTGTTTCCACGAATTCGTTTATTTTAGGTCACAATAAAGTTTTGTATCGAAAGTAAAACTTATCAATCTTAGTCTTCCGTAAACGGCTGAACAATGCCTTTACAGAGCAATGGGCCACCTTTGTGAAGAAACAATGCCGGCCACACTTGATACTTAACCCGCTTTCCTCTCTGTGTGTAGTTTTTGTAGAAATCCACGTTGATGTCACTGCCTTCTTCCATATCTGCATCAATGTGCATCGGGGGCTTCTTGATCCTCATCCACCAACACAAATTGACGCAGATTCTAGCGAACTTTGTGGTTTTCTCTAGTGATGAGAATGGGACCTGGTATTCTGACTCTTCCGCAGTGTTGGCTTGTTGGATGGTGTCCTGATTTGGTATAGTCTGTGAGGGTCCAAGATCAAATCGTTTGTGGTTTCCCTCGGAGGCGGCTTCGTCCTGTTTGTTAGCAGACTCACTATCACCTTCTCCAGATCTAGGCAAATTTTGGTCGCTTTTAATATGACCTCCAAGTTGTTTGAACAGATTCGTGAACCGCTTCTCCATCGAAGACAGGAATTTCTAGGATGAGTGAAAACTACAGTTAGACGTTTGTAGGACATGCATCAACACCTCTGATATCGTGAATGAAGACAAAGCCAAACAAATTTCTTTTTAAATCAATAAAGCGGACAGTGTAAAGGTTTAAAGGCATTTCATGGCATATCAAGCAAAAGAATAGTGCATATTACCGAAATGAATTATCAACCATCCTACAGAATTGAAAGGAAAGAAAAGTCAAAGCACGAAATCTAATTTCTTATATATTTGACATGTATTTGAAAAAGACAAGATATATTAGGGTTAACACTATATGGATCAGTCATGTCTTCCTGCAAAGCATCGAGTTGAAGATTGCATACTTACAGATTCGACAGCTGTTATCAGCGTAGGGACGCATGTCTTCTTAAGATCGTCAAATTGTGTCATCTGTTCTTGTGTTAGAGTTTTCCTGATGTCTTTCTGTTTACATAAATTGAAACCATAATTATTGATACGATTGTAATTGAGAAAGATTGAAAATAATAAATATTTTTAAGAAGGGATCGAGTAATAGTCGATTGGAAGTGAATGACATTCAGATTAAATTTAATACTAAAGGAGATCTTATTGTCTAAACAGTGCAAATCTACTTTTTGTTTGGACAAGCAAAAATGTACAAGTTGACATATTCAGTCACTGAAACATTTTAAAGTTTATTGGTAGAATATTTCTAAGCGAAGTTAAGTGTCTGTAGTGAAAGATAAACATTTTGATCTGAAAGCGTACCTACGTACATGTACAAAATAACATACTTTTAAAGCTTTATTAATTTTGCACTGCTATACATTTGTACTGAAAGAGCTACTTATAACGGCTATGTCTACAACAATGAATATACGTGTCTAGTACCTGTTCTTGTTCGGCACTCTCTGGATCCGGACTTGGCAAACATATCAGTGACTGTGTGATCGTTTCTTCATATCTCGCCTCGGTTTCACAACAAAACGTGAATGCCTCCTGTAACGTATTTATAACCATGATTCATTAGATATCACAATCATGACACAGTCAAAATCTACGTCACTTTGACGGTTCGTGGGGTCCACACATCAACTGTATTACAAGCGCACCTATTATGATGAGTATAGCTACCTGTTATTGAGTAGAGGTGTTCATTGGATTATTTACACTGTAGTGAGTGCATGAATAACTGACAAACCATCAGAAATGCATTTGTATTTTTTGTACATTCTTTTTTCTCGACTGTGAGGAACCATATGGATATACATATATCAATATGTATATTTATTTCCTAAAATAAAATCCACTGAGTTTATACTGCTAGACACACATACTTTACATGTATAATGGAAGTAAAGAATTGAAAATGTTCCCTTTATTAACATTCTTGTTCCGACACCCTACTTTTTTTCTGATTAGAAAGTCTGAGTGTAATGGGTCTACAAACAAAATGATATTTATGAGTACTTGTGTGTCAGAAAGGTCATGACTTGATACATTCGATCGCATTAACTCGCCATGGAAAAAGTGACAATGTCGCTATTTCATTGCAACTGATGTATGGATGGATTTGAATAAATTAATCTAATATTGTAATACATACAATGAGAATAGCCCGGAGGGTTCTGATGAAGACCCCTTCAACGCCATGGACAACACTGGTTTCATCTGTTAATTCTTCTAACGCATCCGTCCATTCGTTGTCATACAGCTCGGAATACCTCTCTGATAGCTTTGTAGGGCGGTTAGAATCACTGAGGTCTGTAATGGCGGGGTTGCCATGAACCAATTTATTTCCTGCTAGTTTACTTAATCTGAAAAAAAGATCTCAATTATACATCATGTATTATCATTGTCATTCTACCTCACAATGCCGGGTTCTGATGTATCCTGTGTAGCTGTTGGACAATTTGTAGCCTCTCAATCACTCTATGTACACGTGTCACGTTTGGATGAAACTTTATACCAGGATCAACTTATTCTTTATCCTACTAACAACCTTACCACCACATGTTTGGTTTGTCATAGCGCAAGATATATGGTTCGGAACTGTGTCCATGACAAACCACAATGTATATATTTGATGTTAGCTTTACACAAAACCCGATACCTCTAGCCGCCGTACTAACACATAATGTGTCAAAACTATAACCCTGCCATGTATAAAAGCTCATTGGCTGTTCAGTTCGGCAAGCACACCGAATCTATGATATCATGAATTATATAAATGATCGCTGTATACAATCAGATGAACGTTTCAACATATTCAAACACTCAATACCAACAGAGTAAATAATTATTAATCATACATGACGGTCTGACAATAAAGTCTAAACACTAAACCATCCTCTCCGGACATATCTACCTTTACAACTTCAAAATATTTTATTTGTTTTGAATTCCTAGACTAATATTACACTACAGTTAACCAACAAGATCTCATACGCAATTACCCTCAATGTTTAGCTCTAACGACTTAAGAGCAGATTAACTAGAGACATTGTACGTCAATGGTACTGCACAATGTAATGGTACTATGTTCAAATTGTACAACAGGCCGTTGACGGCACCGGACAAAAAGACAAAAAAGTCATTCTCGTCCACCGGGAAGCTCGTAGTAAGATGCAATTGATTGAATATGCCAAATACCAAAAAAATGTTGAGAAAGTGTATGCATGTATGCATTGTAAACGGGAACTGCGTGAGCTTGGTGTTAGTTCTCAAGCAACACAGGGTGTATAAAAAGTTGTTGGAAGAAACTGCTTAGTATACACAATCCATACCGTGTAAGTAAGATTTCTTTCTCCGCCTTCAAGTCTTTCATTGTTTTTCTCGTCTCCATTAAGGCTTCTTGTAGTTTGTCAATTTGTTGTTTCTGTCGTTGACAATGCTCTCGCAATTGTTCTTCATAATCTCGATTTACGTATGGTGTCGCCCGATCAAGCAGTTCAGTCAGTTTTGCATTTTGTCTGCAAAAGTATATCAGATTTGTGGTGTTTAATATCTTTCGTATCCTAGGAAACCACTCAGTTATGATCAGAATACATTAAGTGCTTATATTGAGGACATACAATATGATGATTATCATCATTTCATGAAACGTAATCTCTACTAAGTGTTTGCGATGTAAATATATTCGTACTGTTGTGTCCTAAGGTCCTTTTCATGCCAGCGTAACTCCTTGTCATAGAACTCTGTTTGCATCTGTGCCATCTTGCTGAAAATAGGAGAATAACAGGATAATCAATGGAACTGATGATGCACGAAATTTAACTGATATTCTGAGATAGTTTGTTCCCGACCATCTTCTTTGACAAATAACACCCTACCTGTAACATAATATGAAAGTGTTAAGATACGTCTCTTGATTTTAAATAAGACTCACCTCTGTAGTTGAACAACCATTGCTTCTAACTCCGAAACGTGTGCTTTGATACCACTGGAAAAAGATTGCCATAGATAATGTTCATTAGGAACAACTGAGTGTAGTTATATCAAGTATTTAGGGATGCATTACCCTGTAGAATAGACATGTTATCAGTTACATTTACTCAAAGGTTTTCCAGGAACGTATCGCTAATGACTTAACTGTTTATGTAGTAAACGCTGATATCATTGTCCTCATACTGGATACCGTATTTAACATTTGATATGATTGTCCCCATACTGTAGGCCGCACTTTACATTTGATATGATTGTCCCCATACTGGAGGCCGCACTTTACATTTGATATGATTGTCCCCATACTGTAGGCCGCACTTTACATTTGATATGATTGTCCCCATACTGGAGGCCGCACTTTACATTTGATATGATTGTCCCCATACTGTAGGCCGCACTTTACATTTGATATGATTGCCCCCATACTGTAGGCCGCACTTTACATTTGATATGATTGCCCCCATACTGTAGGCCGCACTTTACATTTGATATGATTGTCCCCATACTGTAGGCCGCACTTTACATTTGATATGATTGCCCCCATACTGTAGGCCGTACTTTACATTTGATATGATTGTCCCCATACTGGAGGCCGCACTTTACATTTGATATGATTGTCCCCATACTGTAGGCGGAACTTTACATTTGATATGATTGTCCCCATACTGTAGGCCGCACTTTACATTTGATATGATTGTCCCCATACTGTAGGCCGTACTTACATTTGATATGATTGTCCCCATACTGTAGGCCGCACTTTACATTTGATATGATTGTCCCCATACTGTAGGCCGCACTTTACATTTGATATGATTGTCCCCATACTGTAGGCCGTACTTTACATTTGATATGATTGTCCCCATACTGTAGGCCGCACTTTACATTTGATGTTTTTGTCCCCATACTGTAGGCCGCACTTTACATTTGATGTTTTTGTCCCCATACTGTAAGCCGTACTTTACATTTGATATGATTGTCCCCATACTGTAGGCCGTACTTTACATTTGATATGATTGTCCCCATACTGGAGGCCGTACTTTACATTTGATATGATTGTCCCCATACTGTAGGCCGCACTTTACATTTGATATGATTGTCCCCATACTGTAGGCCGCACTTTACATTTGATATGATTGTCCCCATACTGTAGGCCGTACTTTACATTTGATATGATTGTCCCCATACTGTAGGCCGTACTTTACATTTGATATGATTGTCCCCATACTGTAGGCCGCACTTTACATTTGATATGATTGTCCCCATACTGTAGGCCGTACTTTACATTTGATATGATTGTCCCCATACTGTAGGCCGTACTTTACATTTGATGTTTTTGTCCCCATACTGTAGGCCGCACTTTACATTTGATGTTTTTGTCCCCATACTGTAAGCCGTACTTTACATTTGATATGATTGTCCCCATACTGTAGGCCGTACTTTACATTTGATATGATTGTCCCCATACTGGAGGCCGTACTTTACATTTGATATGATTGTCCCCATACTGTAGGCCGCACTTTACATTTGATATGATTGTCCCCATACTGTAGGCCGTACTTTACATTTGATATGATTGTCCCCATACTGGAGGCCGTACTTTACATTTGATATCAATGTCGTCTGTATATTTGTGTCGGTAAATCACTTTTAGGTCATAAGTTTGTTAATCTAGCAATTACCAGTGTAACCAGCATACGATGGATCACTGTTTTGTAAAACAATGAAAAGATGTTGTGACTTACTGCTCTCTTGATTCTCTTTGTGCCCTTAACATTCCAACCAATTCACCATACTTTTGATGTAAAGCACTGCATCCGTCGACAATATTCTTCGACATCCTGGTTCAATATATAAGTATTAGAATACGGTTTTCTGCAGAAAATGCATTTATATTGAATAGTCAATGAAAGTTAATATTGTTACATCGATCAAGATTATATCAGTTTCAAAACATAACGCAGTGTTGTATCTAATGCGGTTACGTATAAGCACTTATAAATACCACTATATCAGATAACAAGATGTAGCCGGTGTCTGATTTTCCAATGTATCCAACAAAATCCGATAGTTGAGCTATACTTTTATAGATAGTTCGGTTAGTCCAGTTCCATTATAATTATTATAATCTTCGTCCTCGAAATAACTGATGGTGAACGACCGAAATATCTAATGACAAGGTACCTCTAATCAAGAAGGTATATTCTCTCAAATTGATTCAGGAAAAACGAAAGAATATCATATTAGTGTATTTTCAGCCAAAACTTCTTGTCTGAATACTCCTCTATCATAGGGTTTCTCTAAAGCGTTCTATAATTTGTTATGCTACCCTGACCTTTACCAAGAGCACGCGCACTGCGTCTTATTATCCCTCGTGATATCGTTTTCTCTGTGCACTTTTTCAGACGGATGGATGTACTAATTAAAGCATGAATAACCGCTTTTATATATAAAGTATTAATTGTAGATATGATTATTCCGTTAACACAACATCCTATAGATTAACCACTCAAATTTATTTACTACCGGTGTTAAAGTGTAGGTAGATAAAACTAAGTTCCATTATAAATCAGGAAACCATTTTAGATATCAGACAATCACATACCGTGGCCTTTCGTCTTTTTTTGATGATTCCCATTCATGTGCTGCATCTTCCGTAACTTTCTTTTCAGTATTCCTGGCATACATGTCGATGTATACGTAGCTGAACTTGTTATACCAGGTCTCTTCCTGTGTGAAATCCACTTCAGCAACCTGGTTCCTATCACAATAGTAACGATAGTGACAGAATGACGAAAAATGGAAAGATATATATATATATATATATATATATATATATATATATATATATATATATATATGTCCTGTATCATATATTGAAATCATTTCATATCTTACCTGCTAATGTCGTTGTTGATATCTGTAAGTTTGTTTACTATTCTCTCCAGTCTTACCTGCTAATGTCGTTGTTGATATCTGTAAGTTTGTTTACTATTCTCTCCAGTCTTTCCTGCTAATGTCGTTGTTGATATCTGTAAGTTTGTTTACTATTCTCTCCAGTCTTACCTGCTAATGTCGTTGTTGATATCTGTAAGTTTGTTTACTATTCTCTCCAGTCCAGTACATCTGTTGTACATCCTGACAAAGTTTCTTTAAAAAAATGAAGTAAGGAAATATTAGTTTCTACATTAAAAAAAGTAACTTCCCATTATGATTATGCTAACATGTTGTTATGTATTTTTTTTATCCAAATAAAAAGAAATAAAGCAGGAAGGACTCGTAATAATGGTCAAAATTCTAGCTGACCAGACATCCGTCACGTGTAAAATGCCCCAACAAACTATTGATATACTTATGGGAACAGAGTGCGATCCCCTTTTGGCTGACGTTTTAGTTTCACACGAGAGATCATTCATCAAAGAACTTATCAAAACAGGTAACAAAGACCGTCAATTGCACTTTCAGATATATTGATAACGTCTTATCTTTCGATGGCAAAAGATGTATAAACCATGCCCATCGTACATACCAACCAAAACACATAAAAAATATCAACATGTCACTATAATCAAAATTCAGATTCAATAAAACTAGGGCAAAATATGAAAGATTTACACGGTAAAAACACAAGGAAACCAAACATGGACAGCTTCTTATCAAGCTGTATAATATGCGTGGGAATTTCAATTTTCCTACTGTGAATATTCCTTTCCTGGATGTAAACATCCCTTTACTTCCAACCTATGGTATTTTGATTCCATTAGTAATTCATAGATATCTAAAATATTATTGTTATACGAAAGACAGTGTCAATTTCTCTTTTTATCCTTTTTAGCATTAAACAATACTTTCTTCGTTCAATAGAAAAGAAGAATGGCATATACATGTATATGTGTTCTTCAACTTCAAAGCGAATTTCATACAATATCAAATGAAGTTGAAATAAAAACAAATATAACATTTTTGCCAATGAAATCAAGCGAATTATACCACGAATAAAAGAGTTACAAGACGCTTTTGTAGACTTGCACAAATGAAAAAAAATGAGAACAGAAACAAATAATAAAACCTGATAAAAAAAAGTAAACATAATGGGGTTATTTACTGGTGACACGGCATGTATTTCCATGATTAACATAAATTTCCTTTAAAGTCAGCAAGCCATGTAACTCAAATGATCTTACCAAGGACCAACCCAATCCCCAAACGAACATCTCGAGAGTGGACCTAGACATTACAGGAGGATCTATGTCAACAACAGTGACAGCTAGGTTGCCGCCATATTTTCAGCCGCGTAATCATTTGTGATAGTTCAAACTCTGACCGTTTTAGAGCAAGTTTTGTCTAGTAGTGACATGAATAAGAGACATGTTCTTGGAGAATATAAACAGTTAAAATGAAGTAAACGGATTGCCCACGAAAAGCTGGTCAGCTTCGTCCTTCTATATATGTACTTAATATACTTGTGATTTGACTTGTGAAAAAATAATGAAATAGGACTATTATTAGTGTCTACAGCGATAACAAACATATTTCACTCTTGTGTCTATCATTTTTGTTTCTATCATGAGTGCTCATCAAGTAACTCTGCTGATTCATGATATGAGGGGAAAACCAAATCAAACGGAGCCAGCCTGACAGTTAGGCCAGTTTAAATTCAAGACGTAATGCAGTTTTCCATATTATGATATCAAAATCATTTATGACTGACCTAGCCTATGAAAACTGGCCTAGGGTATATGTCACTAGTGGTATATTCAATGGAGTACAGGCTAGTAAGGCGACAGAGAACAATATCAGTATGGCGTGGTTTGAATTTTCTTTTGATAAATCGTGTTTAAACTATTTTCAGGACGAAGCTTGTACTTACTCTTTGCGTACTTCATTCATTTTTCCAATGTCCATCATTATCTTTTCGTTCATTGCCTTACAGCTTTTCTCAGTTTGTGCAATTATTCTGAAAACAAAATTAATATATTAATTATATTAAGAAAAAAAGGGATGTATGTACGTTACACTCGCGTATCGCAAAATATCAGTCAATATCAGAGGGACGAGACAACGGTGAAGTTTAATTCATTCTTGACGTCACTGTTGCTAATGTTATTGAGATGTCGTTGACACCAAATAAGTCTGATTAGATATGTCAACCACAGAAATGTTACCAACGCTTGTAAAAACAACTACTAAGCTGCATTGATGACTTAAATCTATATTTCGGTTACGAAAAACATTAGACAGTCAATTAAAATTATATCAAAACATCGACAAAAAATCATAACCTAACTGTACGCTATTGATATGTATTTGCTCAAATAATAAAACGACCCTTGGAAAAGTTTAAACAGGATCCCAGGGGTCGAATTTTGAAATTGGTATTAAACGCATTTATCTCAATTCCAAGTTTGAAATATTACAACTAATACCATCAATGTACCGAGTATTTCGTTCCTGTTGCTGCGGTCTGTGGATTGCGTTTGGTTTGTAGGCTTTGATTTACTTACCGTCTGGTTTCCAGTGAATCATGATATTTTCCTTTCTTTGTCCATTCCTGCGGTATCGGAATTTCACCGGTGACATTCAACGTTTCAAGATATCCATCATTCCCAAAATGTTGTTCAATGTTTGAATATTCTGCTAAGCATGGGTAATTAGAGCTGGAAAATAAATATATATAATATCGAAGGGCAGACTCTCCAGGATGGTGTTTTAATCAAATTATACGTATATCACGCTAAATGTCAGTCAATAACATGTATATGTTTATAGTGTTTACAGTTCGGCAACAGAAAAGAAAGAAAGATTTATACGTAGACACCTGAAAAAGTACAAGGAGAATAAGACCAGGTTTTCCGGAAAGTAAGTGTCTTCTGCTTCATCACGATACCTGTCATGTAAACCTTGGTCAATCCAGGTAAGCAATATCGCGTTCTCAAATTAGAACAAAATATACAACAACGGAACCAACAGGCAAATTAACGAGCATCAAATATGTCTAGCACTAAGAAATAATTCTCAATGAGGTCACGTTTGCGACCATAAATCTTCTTAATAGTTTTCATCAACCTGCATCTTTGGAACCCATGTGTTATGAGTTTGACAGTCAGTTGATGACTTCTTGCACGAAAATCGTGATAATGGGAACAGGTCCTTCAAGATCGAATCAACCGTTACATTATATATCATTATATATATAGGTTGGATATGCGTGTATATTGCTATCCAGAAAAGGAAAATTCACAATAGGGAAATTAAAATCATCACGTTTATCATACAGCTTGATGGAAAACTGTCCTTTTTGGTTTCGTTGTAGGAAAAGATCGAGATAAGCAGCTGATGTAGAAGATTCTGTCGTATCTTTGATTTCCAGTTCTGGTGGATATATACGATGGACGTTGTCAATAAATTTCTTTCCATTTAAAGACAAGACGCCATCAATATAGCTTTGTGACCTGTTTTGATAAGCTCTTCAACAAATTCAACCTCGTATGAAAACAGAAACAAGTCAGCCAACATAGGGGCGCAGTTGGTTCCCATAGGTATGTCAATAGTCTATTGGAATATCTTACTACTAAACTCTAAGAAGATGTTGTTGACCAAAAACTGTATATATATTATGATTTCGTCCTCCGTATATTTCTTCTTTGATTTGGAAGTACGTTTTACGAAATACGCTTCACTAAAGTTAACAGCCATATATGTATACCGCCGTCCACCTTTCTTGGAGACGAAAGCTCTCATAACAAGAGAATGAGGGTGTTCCTTCAGTTTAGAATGGGGTATGGTGGTGTTTAGGGTGGAAAATTAAATGTTCTTATAGGAGAAATATTTTTTAGAAGAGAGTTTGTTGTAAGATATCGGACACTCTACATAATTTCGTACCAGTTTGTCTTAACGCAATTATTAGTACCACCAAATGCTGTGTCATAATCTATATAAACATATATTTTCTTCTCTCACATACCTCAAACTTTCCATGTGTTTTGATAAAGTTTTGTTGACTGCAGTGAGAACTTTCCACCTTTGTATCAAAGATTCGGAATATCTGAAATAGAGTAATCATGCACGTTGCTAAGAATCAGTTAAAGAACTCAATTTATTCAACCTGTTTCATTTTTCGCCTCAAAGATACAAAATATCGGATTATGTTAATGCTGTGAATAGAAGCATAATGATTGGACAAAGCCAAAGATCACTGGCACTGCTACGGTGACGATGATTTGCGTTTTCAGTAATAATAAAGGGTTTCGCTGAATTAATAATATTTTATATCAATATATATCATATGATATATTCAGAGCTTCATCTGACATATCACGATTTCAATAAGTGATATATCACAGAACAAATTTCCGGGGTTTTCTTATCAATTGATCTTGTATAAAGACAAAATGAAAAAGTTATAAAATACAATTACGTTTTCTGATTGCTTGTACAGAAATGTACAGTGTCACTTGGAGGGTTATGTCTAAGTCGCTTTACTATCTCGGCTAGCGTTTTCTCCTCGTGACAACATCGGACAGCAAAGTGTTCGTGGATCCTGTTACAGAAATAGGTTTGTTTCACGCTTCAGGTTTAAATCACATACAAAATGACAAACACAAGTACACTTTAAAAAGCACAATAATTGGTACAAGTTTATGACTGCTCAAGACTCCGTCAACTATTATATTTTATAACCTGGATATATATGAAGAAATTAATACTTTACAATCTCGTTGTATCACATTGATTTACTATAACTGACAAAAACCTCTTAACAGATAACATTTGCATGCTGCCAGATTTGACACAGCATACCAACGACCTGCGCGATTACATATGAGCTTATTTCTTCTCAATAAAGTAACATAAAGGTTATTATTATTATTTTAATTTTTATAGTTTCTTTTCATCGTTGCCTTAATATAATATACTAATGGAAAAAAGTTTGTTTTCGATAATTATTGCTTTACATGATTCATTGATAATAAGTTTATTGTTTGGGTTTTTCGATTATTTCGTCATTACTGGATGCATTTAAATGTTTTTGATGTCCTATCACAGATGGCGTTTGTGTGAACAAGGGTACCCTACGACTTTCCTAATTCAAATCAGTAGCGTGTGCGCCCACCTCAGGCTTCAGTTCTTAACACCTATCCCATCAATATGTTTATTGTCCTTTGAGGAATATTATTTCCCTCTTGAATATGGGCATGTGTTAGTTGAGCGTTTCCTAACCCTTGTGTCCAGCTTGTCCCACAACTGCTCAACTTGGAACAAATTTAGACTGTATGGTGGCAAATCAAGAACTGGGACGTTGTTTTGAGCCAGAACGTCACGACAAACCCATCAACATGACGCCTCGCGTTGTCCTGCTGCAACGTAAGGCTACGTTGATGGATAAGAGGAAGGACGTGCGGAATCAAGACCTGGTCCTGATATGTTGATGGATAAGAGGAAGGACGTGCGGAATCAAGACCTGGTCCTGATGTGTTGATGGATAAGAGGAAGGACGTGCGGAATCAAGACCTGGTCCTGATATGTTGATGGATAAGAGGAAGGACGTGCGGAATCAAGACCTGGTCCTGATATGTTGATGGATAAGAGGAAGGACGTGCGGAATCAAGACCTGGTCCTGATGTGTTGATGGATAAGAGGAAGGACGTGCGGAATCAAGACCTGGTCCTGATGTGTTGATGGATAAGAGGAAGGACGTGCGGAATCAAGACCTGGTCCTGATGTGTTGATGGAACGTGCGGTCAAGACCTGGTCCTGATGTGTTGATGGATAAGAGGAAGGACGTGCGGAATCAAGACCTGGTCCTGATATGTTGATGGATAAGAGGAAGGACGTGCGGAATCAAGACCTGGTCCTGATATGTTGATGGATAAGAGGAAGGACGTGCGGAATCAAGACCTGGTCCTGATGTGTTGATGGATAAGAGGAAGGACGTGCGGAATCAAGACCTGGTCCTGATGTGTTGATGGATAAGAGGAAGGACGTGCGGAATCAAGACCTGGTCCTGATGTGTTGATGGATAAGAGGAAGGACGTGCGGAATCAAGACCTGGTCCTGATATGTTGATGGATAAGAGGAAGGACGTGCGGAATCAAGACCTGGTCCTGATATGTTGTAAGATTGCCATGGATAATCCTCCTCTGAATCTATCGCTTTCTGTTACTCAACCATCATAATGTCACTCACCATGACGTCGATAGACACGTTGTCGTCCATATGACCTATGTAGCGTGAAGCAAGACTGGTCAGTGAACAGCACAATTCTCCAATGGCCCAAACGGTTAGGTACACGAGCAAGCAGCCATTGCATTAGACATTGGCGTCTCCTCTACGTAAATAGCGGACCAATAAAAACTACTTCCCGCAACCGATTCCTAACCGTTTTCGGACACACTGGCCGACCATGAATACTGACAACTTGGCGTGCCGTCTGAAGTCTGTTACGGAGGTGCAAGAAACGTCCGCTCCTAGGACGGTCACTAAATGTCCCTATGACTCTGAGAAGTCCAACTAACAGGGATTATAATGTCTCATGTACACCATATTGTTGGGCTACATTACATTGTGAATGCCCTGCATTATCAGAGCAATGGCCCTACCCCTATCGACATCATCCTATAGCGGCATCTGTACTGTTCCTATATTTGATTTTTAATGATTGACCAGCACATATGGTGCAGGAGTACCCCGGATGCGCGTTTTCTTGAAAAGTCTTCTGAAAGCATGCAGCGTCGAGTGGGGTCACGGTCGGCTGAACTTTAACTGAAGAATATGTTCCCAACACAATACACGCAGGTAGCTCAGTGTCAAATTTAATCAAATTTCGTCCACGCGTCTAAGAGTCATATTTACAAAACCCGAACTTGCGTTTCTTTTTTCCGTTAGTATATCAAAACCAGCTAGTATAGCTAAAACATGATTTTGATATGTTTATAATATTTTATCAAGTATATACATAAGAAATGATTCTCATAATTACCAAACAGAATTAGTCGTCTCATTATTTAAATTGCTTATAGGTATAACTGTGTCTAGATTAAATAAAATACCATTTGTAAATGAAAAATGAATTTTCATTGCCAAATGAACTAAGCTTGATTCGCTTTTATCAGTTTCTGATAAAAGAACAACAACTGTTTGGTTTCGTACAGTTCTACTTTGCACTTCAACATAATGTATATTGAATGAACTCCTGTTCATTATCAAAAAATAGCTCCGCAAACGCGGGCAATATCCCACAGCCTTATTATAAAGTTAGAAATGTGTGGTTGGGGTGAGTGGAAAGTTATCTCAAGAATGAGATCACCGGAGATCGCCATTTTCACCGAGCATTTTGGCTCTATGGACGTAAATAAGCCTGTAGATTTTTGTTGGCATTTCCATTCCGCTCATTATGTCAAGACATCACTGCGAATCTCCATTTTCATTGGAGATGTTGGGCTTATGGACCTACGGAAGTTTCAGTTCTTGTTATATCCGACATTCTTGAGATAATGAGCGGAATGCAAATTCAACATGGCGGCCGATATCGGGCGACGACGAAAAACCGCCATATTGGATATAGCGGAATGCAAATTCAAAAGCGACGACGAAAAACAAAAAAGGTTGTGTAGGACCATAAGCCCAACATCCTCAGTGAAAATGGTGATCACCAGTGATGTGGTTCTTGAGATGATGAGTGGAATGCAAATTCAAGATGGCGGCCGTAACCACCATATTGGATATCGGGCGGCGACGAAAAACAATAGGGTTGTATAGGTCAATAGGCCCAACATCCTCAGCGAAAATGGTGACCACCGGTGTTGTCGTTCTTGAGATAATGAGCGGAATGCAAATTCAACATGGCGGCCGTAACCGCCATATTGGATATCACGCGGTGACGAAAAACAATAGGGTTGTGTAGGTCCATAGGCCCAACATCCCCAGTGAAAATGGTGATGACCGGTGATGTAGTTTTTGAGATAATAAGCGGTATGCAATTGTGGACGGCCGGACGGACGGACGGCGAGACGGACGCCTTGACGCCTAGACGGACGGACGGACGGACAGACAGAGACAGACAGACAGACAGACAGACAGACAGACAGACAGACAGACAGACAGACAGACAGACAGACAGACAGACAGACAGACAGACAGACGGACATCGTGCGTGATGGCAATACCCCACACCCTTTCGGGCTGTAGAGTAAAAACGGATGTAAAAGAGTATAAGTAGTTTTCAAGGTGCGCTGATAGAGACGGAATAATGGGATACTGTCAGCAAATGATTCGTTTTATACATTACAACTTATTTTAAAATGCTTTACTCAAACCAAGCGTGTCCAGTTTTAAATGCTTTCACGTCCTCCAAACGTTCTCGATACTCGTTCGAAGTGGAGCCAATCCTCATAAATTCCCCATCACTTGAAAAGTCATCAAGATGTTCACTATGGTCTGTCGAAGGTATTTCCATCGAGACGTGTCTATTCACGAAAAGAGGATAGTAGATTATTACAATTTTAACTAATCTTCTCAAAACCAAATATACCGCTATCCTCATTACAGGGTTTACTTCGGTATTTCTTTGTTATTGTGAGGTAAATTTCAAATTTTACACTACCACATTATGTCATACTTCCAAATATGGGAAGTTCGTTAACTGAATATGGATTTATAAAACAAAACGTATTTACCTTCGACTGACACGACTTAGCAACTGCTTTCTAACCAATTCTAGTCCAGTGAGATATCCGCACATGTGTTTCAAAACACTGGAATACACACAATAACACGAGAAGTTAAGCATACGAAAACCTGTTGAAATACATGAATTAGCGACATTTTCGAGACATGGAAAACAGCTGCAAGATAATGGCGTGTGTAACAGGTCGTTAAGGACGAATTACTGGATATATTTATTACCAGACGTCCGTTGTTTCATTTCTGTCATGATACCGGAACATACATTACATGGTCTTAATTTTTATGTAATCTCATTCTTTATTGTGTTTTTATGGAAAGCTTTATTTTCTGTCTTAGTATTACTGTGCTCTGCGGACTACGCTCTTTGACATTTCGAAAAGTTAGGGCCAAACTATCAATAGGATACTGACCCAAAGACGACATAATGTTAAGTTAGTCCGCCACATTATCAACAGGATTCTGACACAAAAGACGACATAATGTTAAGTTAGTCAGATCCTTTTCGTTAATGAAGAATTTTTGGAATGTCCCTTAGCACCGTTAGGTGTGTGTGAGATAAATTCTTCCTAAAGGTCCGATCAATATTTCGAGTTATAATGAATATTCATTGGAAACACAATTTGATATAGATAACAGAGAATCGTGACAGTCGGTACATCTTACGTCACCACCGAGGCAACCGTATATAAATATGGGTGTCAAAATACTTTTTATTGTAACTATACATACATTCATTATTTTTTTTTACAAAAACATTTCTTATTATTAATTAATCGTTCCTTGTTGATAGTGGGATCGCGATGTACCGATAAACTTCATTCCTAGGAGTGTCACAAAATGTTTTTCTTCTGATATTTGAATCAGCATCTTTCATACAACAACCTAACATGATTTGTTGCCCCTTATAAAAGGCCTTTTGCGGCCATCTGCTAAACGGATTATCGAAACACCTAAATCTACCACTACTTTTCTCGATTTTAGTTTATAACTTTGTATTTGTTTTATGTTCTGTGTGTGTGTGATATACTATCTGTGTAATATCAGTGTCTTGATAGAGGGAGAGACTGCTTCCAGAATTTGACACTTTACTTGTCTGTACTGTCGTATTTACTTTGTGCATATATATATATATCTGTGTGTGTTTGTTTGTGTGTGTGTGTGTGTGTGTGTGTGTGTGTGTGTGTGTGTGTGTGTGTGTGTGTGTTAGAGAGAGTTTGTGTGTGTGTGAGAGAGAGAGAGAGAGGTGGTGGTGGTGGTGGTTGTGTGTGTTTGTGTGTGTGTGTGTGTGTGAGAGAGGTTGTGAGAGTGTGTGTGTGTGTTAGAGAGAGTTTGTGTGTGTGTGTGTGTGTGTGTGTGTGTGTGTGTGAGAGAGAGAGAGAGAGAGAGAGAAAGAGAGATAGGTGGTGGTGGTGGTGTGTGTGTGTGTGTGTGTGTGTGTGTGAGAAGTTGTGTGTGTGTGTGTGTGTGTGTGTGTGTGTGTGCGTGTGTGTGGAGTATAATCCCTTCCCTCACAATTTTGTTTATAATACCTATTTCTGTTCCTTCACATCCAATATATAATCATATATACATGTAAATTACCTAGGAATATCGACCGATCCATTGTCAGTTTGGGAAAATTTGAAAATCGCTTTCAATTCTGATTCCGACCTGGGCTTGGCTCTATCATGTTTGCACCTGTCGATTAGGAAATGCATATACTAAATCCATTGTACATAAAGAACATATAGTTTTACACTCTTTTTAATTACACGGAAATTAAGAAGCCTACTTAATTCACTGGATATTGGATTGTAACATGGGATAATGTTTTCTGGAACAAAAGAGACAAATATGACCACCATTTTCTTAATATTTGAAAACAAACTACAGTGAAATCGGTCAGCTGTTAAAACCATTTTATCTAGGGAAATTGTATGTCTTACTGATGAGTAGGAGGTATGTGTGGAAATTCATCTGCTGCTGCATTTCTCGATACTTCGGCGGGAAAGTGAGCATGTGCCTGGTGAACTTCTGAATGGTCGGTCCGATTGTCACCCGATGACGTCTGTGGGCGTGTCCCAATGTTGTCATTATCCATTATATTTCTAATCACAAATGGACAATGGTGTTAATAAGCATTGAAAAATAGATTTGGCTGTCAGCATAACGAAAAACTGAAATCAAATTACAATGTAACAATCTTAAGTCAATATCTCAATATCAATTGTTCTAATCTATTTTGTACTTGACATTTTCTGATGAATATGCATGGCAATGCTGTCAGCACGATGGTTTATTTCCTGTTACACAACCCATTCATGATATCGGAATATCATTAGAGGTATATCTCAACAGATTGTGATCATCATTAAAACTTCATTATACTTAAGTAAAGAATAATGGGCTCACTAGTTTGGGTTACACTTATCAGAAAAACGGAACGATACAAAGGTACGTGTGTGAAAACATACTTATCCATATCTTTTGTTCTCACGTCAAGCTACAGTTGTGGGATCATTCTACCTATATTTCAACAGAATTGGTTGGAAGCATTATTAATCAATAAGAATAATGAATACCGGCGGATAATATATCCTCAATATATGCATTCGAGTGATCTCCCTTACTTTCAAAATTGAATAATACTGTGATTACCTAAAGCGAAAGTAGAAAATTAAAATCAATGTATGAACAATAAAGCGACATTAAATTATACTTATAGACATTATAACATACCCATGTGTGTCTTCGCTAACCGAATAAATAAATATGGACAGATACACGTGTTTTACCGTCTACGAAGTCGTGACAACATGACATTCTGTCCGAACAAGGAAGTAATGTTATAACCACTTTGTCTTGATCAAAGTCAACACAGATTTTCTGACATTCATCATCTTTTAAACATTGCATGATTGAGTATTTCCGTTTAATTCATCAATCAGTATCGATTTAAGGAATTATAAATGTACCGTACACATACTACGTTAATTAAACAACATTTTGAATTGGTTGCCATTGGGATTATACAAATACTACAGTAGATACACAATATAATCCGCATATCTGAACAAAACGATTTACCATATCCTTGTCGTCCGTACACGTTAGTGTCTGTAGATTTAGATCACATTATCTTTGTATCTTGTACAAATCTGATCGCGAGTTATCAACTGTGACCTCAGTATCAATGTATCAAACTGCAGACGAACTTCTGGGAATGCCTCTCAGTCTATATATAGCATAGTGCCCTACACACATACTGTAAATGTGTCGTTATGTCAATAATTGCCCTTCGCCTTACGTGTACCAACACCTTCGATAAAGTTTCCAACTGCCGCATGAGGACTCACTATTTCGGAAAAAATTGGGGATCGATAAACAAATTTTATAAAATTTAATGACTGCATGTTGATATTTTGACTGAAACACAAGTAGATACTATATAAATACAAAACGAAAATATATTCACTGTAAATAGTTTAAAATCCATCTGTTACTGAAAATAAAAGCGATAGTTATTATCACAAATTTTTAATCACGTGTAAGTAATATTGCTGACAGCAGATAACGATGTGTGCTCTATTAATACTACTCAATCTTTGTACTAACCTACGTTAGTGAAATGATGAAAGGAACGAAACGAGTGTTTGTGGTTTTTGTTAAATGAAACAGTTCTACCTGTATGTCAGTCATTTATAAACCATACCTAATGACAGTCATACCTTGTACATATTTCTGTATCAAATTTCATCAACTACGTACTCATGGTGTGTATGATGGCAGGACATATCTATATGCTTGCTTTGTGAGATAGAAAGGTAACTTTAAAGCTGTCTTTGAAATCACTCTCCGTTAGTCCGTCCTCATATGAGATTATTATCTTTTTACCAGGTTCGCCCTTAGATAATGAAAATATGTTTCAGTCTTGACTTAAATTTTTAACCACTTTCAAATGTTCAGAATATTGGCAAGTAAGAAGTAGAAGACTTCTGAAATGATGTAACATTGTCTTATGAATTTGTGATTTGGAAGCAAATTGGTGAAAAAAGAAATTTGATAGCAATATTTTGCTTTTTGCAAGCAGTTTGGAAAATAGGGATGCCGGTTATCTATTGTTGCTGTTGTCAGATTTGATATCTATGTTTGTAATTAGCCATTGTTATATTGCCTGTTTGGTTTAGTTTTACATGCAACCAGATATTTATATTTTAAGAGTTGGTCACGTGATATGTTCGTAAGTATGCTTGGTGAGTAAGTAGTTAATTTACTTTGTTCTCTTTAGGGAACGGGATATGTCTTAATCGTATTGACTAAAATTTACATGGTGGATGTCACCGATGAAGTAAAAGGCGCTAACCCTTCCTAAACACATTATCTCATCTTTACTCTAAGATACTATTTCTGCATTGATGGACGCTTACCTCCTGGACCTTCATTTACCCTGTTGCAAGGAAAGCATGAAAATATCTTCATGGGCCAGTATTTTTTCTTCCATTATCGTTGTTACATACACCGCACATGATATTGAACATTTTATTGTATATGCCTATATGTGGAATACTATGGCTTTGTGTATTCTGATACTGCATTTCCAAATGGGATTATTCTCATAATCAAATATATGTACTTAGTCAATCTGTTTAAGACTGGTCTTCTTCCTTTAGGTTCTGTGCCGCTTCTTGCTATATCACTGGAGATGCATGTTACGGAGCCAGTTCATTAGCTTAATCTATGTATTCGGAACACTAAACAAGATTTTCTTTTTTTGGGGGGAGGGAGGTTGGGGGATTTTCGAATTTTCGCATTGTGAACCTTACGTCGAAGTTCTTTATCAACTCCGAGATAAGGAAGAGTCACGTGTCCTATGAATTGGTCGGTTGATTTCATGGAACCCATCTCACAGTCATCTAGTCACCTGTCCTATGATTCGTTGGTTGATTTCATGGAACCCATCTCACAGTCATCCAGTCACCTGTCCTATGATTCGTTAGTTGATTTCATGGAACCCATCTCACAGTCATCCAGTCACCTGTCCTATGATTCGTTAGTTGATTTCACGGAACCCATCTCACAGTCATCCAGTCACGTGTCCTATGATTTGTTGGTTGATCTCATGGAACCCATCTCACAGTCATCCAGTCACGTGTCCTATGATTCGTTAGTTGATTTCATGGAACTCATCTCACAGTCATCCAGTCACGTGTCCTATGATTCGTTGGTTGATTTCATGCGTCACAGTCATCCATCTGGAAAGGTATTTGTGAAAGATTTCCGACCCAATGAAGTTGTCATTATATTTATCTGTTCTTCCTTTGTTTTCTTCAAAATACCAACACTCTACAGGTCAATGCTGGTCAATGTTCCGGATAATACTACCCGCTGTGCGTTGTTTGTTTCTTAATTTCCAGGAATGTAGGAACATGTTTAAGTAATTATTACATAGTAGTCTTTGTGTTAATATTAAAAAATAATATTGTTTTTTTTAAAGACTTAAGAACTTTATATACATCATATCATGTATTTTAAACTATATTTCTAATTCGGAACATTTCCACGATCTACAAACATAAGCAGTTAAATTCGTTAGGATGACCTTCTTCATACACATTCTGTGCTGTGGCCCTGTTATAGTGTGAAGATATAGCAATTATCTCTAGAAATTTCAATGATGACATAAACAACAATAAATAACCAACGTGTGAACATTATCATAATCAAAACTCAAATTCAACACAAACAAGCGTAAAATATGAACAAAAGAAGTGTTTACATACTCCTGAAATGTAAGGAAAATGCGACCAGGTGTTCAAGAGGAGCAGCCATTTCTGCTTCATCGATAACATCTGCGATGTAAATCTTGGTCAATCCAAGTAATTAATATCACTTTCTCAAATGAGAACCAGGACATTTACACTAGGTTTACAGTTTAGCTCAGTTTACACTATAAAACAGTCGTCACGAGCTCTGTCCTTTTGTGATCTTAACATCGAAGCCTTTTGACATTCGGAAATCGTGATTGTTTCTTCTGTAATCTCAGTTGTCATCAACAAAATGATATTTTGTACTGGAATACCATATATTGTTTCTTTTGTTTCAATAAACATTGATATTTTGCATAAGTATTCAACATGTATATTTCATACATCGCGTCCTTTTTAAGTGACTTCTCATTGATGGTCACGTGATGGACATGTATGAATAACGGTAAATGCCTAAATATGGATTTGAAATCTGTTATTCAGATATTAACTTTTTTTTTCATTTATCAAAAACAATTGTATGATATTCCAGTTGAACACAACATGACTCTATATTTCAAGAGGTAAACAGAAACACATAAGGCCAAAGCTAATGTTTCCGTCATTGTTTGTTTTCCAGTATTTGGTATTTCCTGGCAGGGATAAGAGATGAGACATTTTGTCATTTATCCGGTGGTATATGTATTACCGTCATATGATTCATCCTTAGTGTTATGATTGATTCGATTTCAAACAAATAATAGCAGCAATGACAATGAAATAAACAGTTATGGACGGAGGCTCTATTTAAAACTTTTGATATGGTTAAAGGCCATTTAAATTATAATATTTTTTTACTGTAAAAATATTAGGGTTGACTTAAAACAGTAAACATCAGTGATAGCATTTACATATCAACGTAAAATTTCATAATTAAAAGTTATCAAAAGAAAAACATTTGATCTTTAAAAAAATAAAAGCAATAATTTATCAAGGAATTAACAATGTTTATTGAGCTTGGTATACAGTGGACGGAACTTCTTAGCAAACAGAAAATTATTTTTAAAAAGTCCGTGCCAATTTAGAGCCGAACCTGACTTTTCCGCTGTTGACAAAAGTATCTTATGCCATTTATCTTCTTTAACCCGAGGACAGCGTTATGACTGTTCGTCCAATCGCCACAGAGTGAACATACGTCATCAAGACTCAATAATTTGGAAAAGTTAACAGACGTTTTCGAAAGCTCGAGAATACAGTTTTCAATCGCTATTAGTGTTAACCATCGTCTCAAATGAAAACTATAACATACATGGACGAAAGGATTAATCACTTGATAAATTTGTTCATAAAGTCAGAACTTTATGGTTAAAACAGAGAATACATGGTCAGTGTCTTAAAACAAAAGCTGTTTTCGACGAGAGTAAAGAAAGACAAATGTGACGAGGCTCTGGCGAGCCAAGTTTGTCTTTCTGTCTTGAGCCGAAATACAGCTCATATTTTAATACACTGACCACGTGTTCTGTCTATCATGCAACATTGATTGATAATCAGATTACTGAAAATTAAACAGTTTTGTTGTTTCATCTGTGTTTGTCGGATAAAAGAGCGATTTTATGAATATCCATAAATCAACATGTTCATTACAGCACATAAAATTGATTATTTCCACAAGTATTTTTACTTCTAATCGTATTATTAAAGTGAGTCATTCTGTCTAAGTACCGCACTTGCTAAAATGCAGTTGTTTTCCGTCACTGCCGAATATAGCAAACATATGTGTAGCAGATGTATTCCAATACTGGCAGTGCCAGTTGCAGGATAAAATATATATTTTGAAATATGTAACATATCAGCACGTTTTAAACATGTGTTCATTCTAATCAGGGGGTTCATAAGGAACCAATATCTTCATTATGGCTTTCCCTGTGCCACGCCCTTACTAATTAAGGGCCCTCCTTCGTGAAGATGAAGGGCCGGCCATACTATGTAGTCCAGTTGTTTTCCTTTTCTTGTATATGCCTTGTATCGTTCTTCGTCGAATATTGTCGAAGCCTCCGCTGTCATTTTGACCTTTGGGTCCTGAACGGCCATGAACCAGGAAATATGCACGCATCTCTTCATATATGCCTCGGTCATCTGTCCTATTTTTGCTTTTGACCTTGTCTTTTTCGTGAAATCCTAATTTAGAAAAAAGAAGATATAGAAAATTACAAAAGCTAAATGAGTTTTTACAAGATTCAATTAGTATGTATTAGTTCACCATGCAGTCCTTAACAAAGAGAAATGATGTAAATATACCCTGAATTCATAGTAATGGTATTCAGGTATGGTAGACAGATATTCATAGTAATATCCTCAGAAGAAGTGAAACGACTTCTAGTGGTTTTAAATATTCCATATCTAATACATCCCACTGATAGTAAGGACAACAACCTCTATCGCAAACGATGCAATTACATGCAATATCCCCCGTACCTCTTGTAAGTAGGTAACGGCGTACACAGCCAAACTTTTTCGGTAGTCCTTGTTGATTTTCGCGACTTCTTTCGGCATCTTCTGAAATAATAAAAAATGTTAAATGTACATTTACTAAATCAGATAAAGAGGTAAAATGTAAAATAAGGTTTAAACTTCGATATTTATCATTTCAGGTCTGGTAAAATGTAAGCCCTGCTATAATGGGAACGCATATGAGAGTTAAAACTACACCAGTAATATCTGGTTATCAAAAGATTGAAACCACACAGGTAATATTTGTATATCAAAACATTAAAACCTCACAGGAAATACTTGTATATCAAAAGATATAAAAATACTGATAAAACACAGGGAATATTTCTATATTAGAAGACTCATACAACACAGGAAATGGTTGTATATCAAAAGGCTGATGCAACACGGGAAATAAGGCTGATACAACCCGGGAAATAAGGCTAAAACAACACGGGAAATAAGGCTGATACAACACGGGAAATAAGGCTGATGCAACACGGGAAATAAGGCTGATATAACACGGGAAATAAGGCTGATGCAACACAGGAAATAAGGCTGATACAACACGGGAAATATTTGTATCTCATTAATTTGACACAGCATAAGGAATGTTTGTGTGTTAAACACCAGAATAACGTTAATACTAGATGTAATATGTACAAACCACTGTCTCCGTTTGATTTTTGTCTTTACAGTTTGACTTTACCGCCAGAGACATTGTCGCTTTATGTAATAAAAAGTAACACAAACTGTTTTCGTGTCATATGACATTTTATGACAGCAAGAAAATTCTTACCGTGAACATAACAATAATCCACACTCAAATTCAATACAACTAGGGCGAAGGTATAAATAAAATGAAAGATATAAACTGGGACAAGAAAAGTAAGACCAAGTGTTCCGGGCGAACGCCGTATACAGGAACGGGGAAAATTATCAAGCAGCAAACACGTCAGCTCCATATCGCACAAAGAAATAGAATATTTCTCAATGAGATCACTATGACGACCAAATATTATTCACCAACGCTCGTTTCATGAAATATCATGTGAAATGGAAATAAAAACAAATGTTTATATGTATATCTAAGACCACTGAAGCCTTTATTTATTTTTCAAATAACATTTGTCTTTTTATTCGATGAGAAATCCACTTTGGATTATTGTTGAAATGTCCTTGCACAGAAAAGAACGAATATTACAAGAATGGCGTCACATGTCAACATACATATCAACACATCCATACACACAAAACAATATCAATTCCCCACTTGAATACTTTCATAGTTCTGGTAAAAATCCGTTATATAACTCACCTCAGAAGAACTTAGATCGCCAGAGAATTCTTTGAGGCTGCCATTTATCTTGTTCATAAACTTATCTGATCGTTCAACGCAAAACGTGTACGCATCCTGTAAAAGTATGAAGTAAGTTGATTCCTTCAGGAAAGTTATTCTATACTGCTTAAGTGGTACCATATTGTGAGTATATACGTTCATCTCTCTTTTAAATTCCATGCGGGTTACAATAATAGGACGTATTAGGATGTTAATATATATGTACGGTCAAGAAAACAGCACAGCTTTAAACAGCCATTACGATTATCACAACGCGCCAGCAGTGCTAAACGTTATTGGTTATGGAGAAAACAATCTGTGATTTCACGTGAATTAATTTTCACCTATCATGCTGGGGTTTAACAGTAAAATAAAATCTTGGCCAACATTTATGAAGTTTCTGTTGGATAACCCAGTCATTTTGACTAAGTAGGCTTATCTAAGAGTAACTATATCAAATTATGCAAAAACTGCTGAATTAATATTACTGACACAATACCGAGTATTAGCAACTGTACTACCAGTTTATCTATGTATGTATCATATCATTAATTATCCCAGATACTAACAAACACCATACCGAGTGGTTAATATATCACGTGATATCTTGGAATTACGCCGCCGGGAAGTTACTGTGTCATGTGACACTTGTATGTCCACAGAATAACCAGAAATAGTATCATTTGCACAAATCTTGTATGTGTTGTATCATGTGCTACACCATACCTATTAGTTGTTTTTACTGGACACTTACACACACAATAGTCAGCAGTTGTTGTATGGTTGTTTTTTCGTCTGGTAATGTGTTCAGCAGCTCCTCCATGGCGTCTGTCCATTCATTGTCATATAATTCCGAAAACTTTTCGCCGAGACTCAAAGGACGGTTTGGGTCGCTTAGGTCAGCGATTGCAGGATTGTTGTCAGTTAACTGCGCTCCAGCTATTTTACTTAGCCTGATGAAATAGAATCATAGTCGTTTTATCTGCTACATTGTTACAAATGACAAACAGTCATCCGTACATTCTTCTACATTGAATCATTATCATCACACCATCGGCTAAGACACTTCGGCCAGATAAAGCTATTATAGCTAAATAAAAATGCTAGTTAAAATTCATTCGCATATCTAGAACGTAATAGAATATAAAATGTGCCGGGGAATGTCTCTTCTTTAAAACGTTTATTAGAAGGTATGAACGTTCAAATGATAGAACAACTTTCAAGACGATAGGATAAAACAGGGTAGAGCCAAACAAAATATCTAGCTGCAAACAGCTATATCGTCTTTGGAAGACGGTCTAGAATTGTATTCAAGGATGCTCACTTGAAAAGAACGTTAAGTACATGTCAAAAAACACACAAATGAATAGCATCTTTCCATACAAATCTAGAATTATATCTGTACATAAAAGTAAAAAAAGGGTTTTGTATAACAGACCTGATACGCAGATCTTCTACTTCATTTTCGAGCTTCGAAATAATTTCCGCTGGTGACAAATTTCCCATCTTTCTTTCTCTATTTACATTTTCTGGCCTGTAATCAAATATGACATGTATAAATTTGGCGATATGTAATTTGTCATCAAAATAATCGCAGAGAGAGTTCTATACGTCTGTAGGTGACTCCCTTAGTTTGAAAGCCTAATTAAAAGTCCATATCTTTGTCGTCGCCTTTTGAGAACCTTTTTGATCTAAATCAACGGATTTATTTACATGATTTTTGTTAATCATGACAAGTAAACGCTGATTGACGTCTCTCTATTGACAACCAATGAATCCCAAGAAATCAATCAGATCAGCTTATTTATTACCGGTCAATTTACTTACAGGTTCTAAAAAAAATTTATGTGGCGTATATACAAGCAAAGAGGATTTGAATATATTATAAACGTAGTGTTTGAAGACGTTTACTAAGTTCCTGGGTGAAAATACGAGTTACATTTTCTCGTTACATTAATCTGCTGGTCAAGGTACATAATACACCAAGTCGATGAAAAATATTGAAACATTGTTGATCCATATATTATATTAATTGTTGTTGTTTTTTTAGATGGCGACGTACATCTTAAAGAATGTGAGCTATTAATTCTATAAAAAACAGTAAACAGTAATATCAAGGTTCTGGTATCAGGAACTGCAATTTCATGTAATTTTAACTAGGTAATCTATTGAAAGGTTTATGGAAATAACGTTATTCAATTTTACGTATTTTGTTTATAATCTACTAGTAACATACGTAATGCGATAAACTATAAAAGATAGATTAAAAGGATTCCATACCTCTTTGCTTTGTTTCTTTGCAGCTCCTCTTCATTTTTTTGCTTCTCACTATGTAAATATATGATTCTTATATCAGAAGGTGGTGATATGTCAAATGTAAATTTCAGAGAGATATAGACTGAGACTGAATAATGCTTGCTACTATAATCAACCGTTACACGTGCGAATTAGTATAACACAGTTATAAAGAATGAATTATCTTATTAATGATCTAAGTTGGTCTGACAAATATCTCCTACAGATTATCATCGATAAATATGTCAAATACCAATTAGTTGTTAGTAAAAATAAACGTTCCATCGTTTAATGAAAATCGCAGTGAAAGCATACATTTAGAAATTGACTGAACATATTGTTATACTTCCAATTATGCCTTGATGCTATATATGTGCACAAACTCTATGTCGAATGTTTGAATATTCAAGACGTTCGCAAAACCTTCCCAAGTATAGCGCCGATTGGTAGACACATGACAGAATCTAGGGCGAGGCAGTAACACTTAATAACGACGACAGAAAGAATTTAAATGGTGAGGAAAGATTATAGCTTATGACCGATGACGTTAGGAATGGTATCATATGAATAACTTGAAAATTCACGTCATATTTATAAATTCTGAGTACAAGGGAATAAACGACGCTAAAATAGCAAGTAATGACATTTATATGACAATTAATAAAACTGAACAGGGCAATGAACACTTACTGATCAATGAAACACCAGGAAAATACCAACGTGGCAACATACCTATTATCCCAACTTAAAAAAGTAGGGCAAAGTATTAACAAAAGATTTATACGGAGAACAAGGAGAATAAGACCAGGTGTTACGGAAAGGTAAGCGCCAGCTTCATATCGTACAAGGAAATAGAAAATTGCTCAATGAGATCACCAGAGTGATCATAAAACTTTCTTTAACCTGCATCGTTTGATCAGATTAATGATAATTTTTGCGATAACAATGATACAACACTGAAGATGTCTTATTATGGTTACATTTATAGTTCCTTAGAGTATGTACATTTGTATAGCAATGGGCTCTTCTCTTAATCGACTTTTGATATATTAACATTCCAACCTTATCCAACCTTATTTTAAGGACATGTCGCAAAGCCGCTTTGAACAAACTTGAACACCTTCACTCCCTCCCACCATCCATCCCCACCCCAAACCCACCGACCACCCCGCATAAAGAAGTTGTTTTTATTGTAGCAAAATTAGATGAATAATCATACTGAAAATGTTTTCTTCTAATTTCATTAACTTACTTTTCGCATTTCAACGACGTATTTTCCTGTCGAAGTGCTTCTATTGTCTCTTCTTGTTTTTTTCTGTATACAACATTCCAAAAACATTACAAACATGAAAGCAAACAATCAAGCGTATGCGTTCTACAAATTGTCATTCATGAATTGCGTGGCATTATAATCATTTTTCAAACTCAAATTCCATAAAACGATGGTAGAATATGTACAAAAGAAAGATTTACACGGAGACTTATGAAGAAGTACAAAGAGAATAAGATTTGGTGTTCCGGAAGAGTAAGCGTCTTCTGCTTGATTGACGACACCCGCGATTTAAACCTTGTTTAATCCGAGTAAGTGATGACATGTTTTCAAATGAGAACAAGGTATACAACAACGGAACCAACAGACAAATTGACGAGCATCAAGTACGTCCTGCTTTATAAAAATGCCCCATAATTTTCATCTAACTGCAGCTTTAGATCGCTTGTGTTTCAAATTTGTCAATCAGATAACGACTTCTTGTACAAAAATCGTGACAATGCAAACTGGTCCTTGAATATCGAATCGACTGTGACATGTAATTACCATTTTTGGAGATGAAAGGTTATTGCTATCCAGAAATGGAAAATTCACAATACGGAGATTGAAATCATTACGTTTATCATACAGATTGATAGAGCGCTGCCCATCTTGGTTCCATTGTAGGAAAGATCGAGATAAGCAGCTGATTTAGAAGAGTCTGTCGTATCTTTGATTTCCAGTTCTGGCGGATATATACTTCTCTAATTATTTTATGACAATACGGTATCAATATATCTGAAGGTGAAGTTAAATGACTTTGAAAAGTGACCTGTTTTGATAAGTTCTTCAATAAATTCAGTCTCGTATGGAAACAAAAACTAGTCAGCCAACAGAGGGATGCAGGTGGTTCCCATATATATGCCAATAGTCTGTTGGAATATTTTACATACCACCAAACTCGGGGAAGATGTTGCCAACCAGAAACTCGATCATTTATATATGTATGTGTGTGTATGTGTGTGTGTGTGTGTGTGTGTGTGTCGTTTTTGGTTTGGACGTATTTTTTACGAAATACTCTTCAGTTCACAACCATATATTTATATTGCCGTTCCCGAAAAAATCCTCATAACAAGAGACCGAAAGCGTTCCTTCATTTTGGAATGGAGTATGGTGGTGTAGAAGGTGGAAAAATCAAAAGTTCTTATAGTAGAAAGGTTATTAGAAGAGGTGTTGAAGATTGTTCAAAAGCTCTTTTCATTTCTTCACAATCCACATACTATTCATCCCACTTCCTGAGTAAACAGTATCACAATAAGAGAAAGGCTTAGTTGAACCATTAGACAGGCCAGGTATAAAACGTTGTTTATATGAATTCTTGTGATGTTTAAGGATCCATTATCAACGGGGAAGGTCCGTATCGAAGACGATGCTTCTTCTTTTTTAATATATGAAAAATCTGGCATTTGAAAGACATGAAATACTTTACGAAATGGGAAGCGGAAATGATTAGTTGATCATAAAACTTATTCATCATCGATTAACGCAAACAATTATAAAACATTCTAAGAAAGACAGATGAAGATATGTGTTTAGGTCAGATAAGATATAAAAAAAAAACTTTTACTAGGATTCCAGAAAATATCATAGTCATGTGATATATACACGCAGATCTGTTGCAATATAACTACACAAGCATGCACTATTACAGCTGAATTACTGTAACAACAATGATTTAAAAATGATGTCATTTTAAAACTTCTTTTGTATGTCCATTTGTTTGCATTTTGAAAAAAATGAAGGATTTACAGTGTAAACATACATGTTTTCTATGAATGAAAAAAGTTTTGTTTTCATATTTTCCCTCGTTATTGACCAATTAAATCACATTGTCTGCAAAGAAAACAACTTGTACTCGGGTTATGCCAGTTTGTTCGCGCGGGAAGTCTTTTTTATATAACCTTCACCTCGAAAATCTGAGTAAGAGTTTAGTCAGTTCGAAGGCTGACTAAACGAAAACATCCAGGTGTGAAAATATTCATATTTGCAGTATTACTTTATATTCACAGATTCTATCTTCATGATTTAAAAGAAATTATATACACATATATCATAAAAAGGAAGCCGTCTTCCATTATAGTAAAATTAGATGAATAATTTTACTGAAATACTTATTATCATTATCAGTTTAACTTACGTTTGGCGTATCATCGATGCATTTTCCTGTTGAAGTGCCTGTATTGCTTCTTCTTGTTTTTTTCTGTAAACAGTATATGGAAAACATGACATATACGAATTCAAACCTTTGTTTTCTTAATGTACATTTAACTATAAGGAGAAGCCCTCGTGAGTTGTAATACACTTGTGTCTAATCCTTTTGCTATTACATTTGACAATAAAATCTGTTTAAACTAAACTCTCAAACATTTAAGCTTTAGTTCTCTCACTACGCGTAGTACAGACGTTTGTGGAAGCTTCTATTGGAATTTATTATGATTTGAAAACTATCGTCATTTAAAAGACATGAAATACTTTCCGAAATGGGAAGCGGAAACGATTAGTTCATCATAAGATTTATATATCATCGATTAAAGCAAACAATTATGAAACATTCTGAGAAAGATAGATGAAGACATGTATATGTATTAGATGAAATATCAAAAGCGTTTACTAGGATTCCAGAAAATATGATCATGTTGATATACACACACAGATCTGTTGCACAATAACTACATAATAATGGCTTTATTACAACTGAATTTCTGTACAAACCATGATATAATAACAGTATCGTCTTGAAACTTCTTTTGTATATCAATTTATTGGCATTTTTGAAATCAAACTGAAGGATTTACATTGCTAACATACATATTTTCAATGAGTGAAAATAGCACTTTAAAAAAAAAAAAAAAAAATTTTCTCGTTGTTAACCAATTAGATCATCTGTAAGAAATTGGCGTTTTTACTGCAAACAAATGAAAACGCCAGTTTCTTACAGAAAACAACTCATACTCGGGTTTGCCAGTTTGACCGAGAACAGCATATACCTTTATCATATATGATTTAAAAGATTTTATCCAAGTATTTATCATAAAAAAAGATCAAATTTCGTCGTAATTATTATGGAAAATAAAACTTTTTTATCTACGGAAACCATGTCAAATTGTACATCGATATTTCATCCATTATAACTCAATGCACATCTATATGTTACAGAAACAACCATACTTATTCCCACTGAGGTTTCTTTCCATGTCCATTTGTTGTGTCTGATTTTGTAAGTTCTCTCTGGAAATGGGGAAAATAATTGTAAGTGTGATGTTAATAGTTAGGAATACTTATCTAACACGTACATGTATATCTATATAAACAGTTTTTGGATTAAAATTGACATTAATCTTCAGTGTGCAAGTTCTTAAAGAAATAAAAAAAATCAGCTCATGAACATGCGAAATGAACAACTTTTCCAATTTCAAATGTTAATTTATGCATTATTTATGCGGTGTTGTCTTCAAATCACACGAACGCAACCAACGTCAAACAGTGCAGTGTTCACCCCTGATTACTTTCGGTTTTTAGCAGAAAAATGTGATATTTATAAACACCTTGAATTTCCTGTTAACCCCTTCAAGAATCTCCATTTTCCCCCTTTTTCCGACCTTACGTCGATTCAGTATTTGAAAATCACTTACATTTTGCGGGATATTTATTTTTGCGTTAATGCGCAAATTCAGATCTCTCGCGATTACATGATATATTCAACGGAAGTAAACACGTTTGGAATAGAGTATGTCAAAAGTATGAATTTGCTTTGTTATGTTACATGTAAAAAGAGTGGTCGACGTGTATATTTTTAAAACATAATTATATCAAAATTGCCAGTACAAGCCCTAAAAACTGCTTTAGAGTATAATTGTGACAAAATATGAAACTAGGAAAAAGGAAGAGACTGATCAGTGAGAGTTATATGTTTTTAATTATCCCTAAATAACACATATACATATTTACGGACGGACGTCGCGGTATCCTTATAGTTGATTTGGTCATGAGAGCTGTAAAATGCTTTTAGTTGTTCGGATTTAAGTTATGTGTAGTCAATTATATTTCACAAATTAATCAAACGCTGTGGGCTAAATCCCTGTATAGCTGCAACAGGTTCTTTAGAGGGACTCATTTTAGTTCTGATACTGCAAAAACATATGAGGCATAAGGTTTCAACACGCCTTAAGTCAAGCTTTGAGACTGCCAATTCCCTGACATACACCACATTTGTAAAACTAATAATGATAACAAACTAATTACATTTATTATGAGTACAAAAACAAGTATCGATCATTACAAATACGAGGTTTTGAAACAGAAGCCTACCTGTCACGTGAGATGTCTGATATTTCCCTCTTCAGTGCTTTTACTGTGTCTTCTAGCATCTCTCTTGAAATGAATATGATTTACTGGATATTATATAAGTTTTTTATACAAATACTGGTGATTAGATCGTGATTATTAATGTTACCATGACATACGTGAATTGTTTACTTAAAGCGACAAAAATTTGCACGGCGGGTGTCGTCGTTGACAAAGACGATAATAATAGTCCAAGCATAATTTTTGCGCTGCTTCATTTTACTTTAGCCGTAAGAAAGGTGTCATTTAATTTTGTAGATTTTATCATTCTTCTATCATTCTTAATCAAAGTACTGGTCGGGAACTTGTTGATATAACTTATTGTGTAAATATATCCTCTAGTAAAGATGATGATAAAGCATTAACATACCTGTTCTTCGTGAGTTCTGTATTTTCTCTCTGCAATTGCTCTACCTGTCCATGCACACTTCTGTGGAAATATCAAATCGATTTTACATTTGATTTGGACAGTGTGACTATCAAAATTAGCCATTCACTGGCGTTTTCCCTTTAAATGGCTGTACAAAAAACACACAAGTTATATATCCTCGGTATGATAACAAATTATATATCTCAAACATGTTCACATATACCCACGAAATGTCAACAAATTATATATTCCAAACATGCTCACAAATACCCATGAAATGTCAACAAATTATATATCCCCAACATGCTCACAAATACCCACGAAATGTCAACAAATTATATATCCCCAACATGCTCACAAATACCCACGAAATGTCAACAAATTATATATCCCAAACATGCTCACAAATACCCACGAAATGTCAACAAATTATATATCCCCAACATGCTCACAAATACCCACGAAATGTCAACAAATTATATATCCCCAGCATGCTCACAAATACCCACGAAATGTCAACAAATTATATATCCCCAGCATGCTCACAAATACCCACGAAATGTCAACAAATTATATATCCCCAGCATGCTCACAAATACCCACGAAATGTCAAACAAGTTACTAATGTTAATGCATATATCCCGGGTATAACAGATCATCTCTTAAAACACTTGCGTACCTGTTTTTTGAGAGGTCCGACTTCTCCTTCTCCAGTCGTTTAACCTTATCTTCTAGGTCTTTTCTTGAAATTGATAAGACATTTTTTACTGTAGTTTTTTAGTAGCAGGACAATTTATTTTCTGTCCCCAATTTCATGCAAAATCTATAAATATAATTTCGTAAAACAAGCACAATAATGTCGATTCCATTTGGTTCAAAATCCATTCTTAGTTTAGGTTTGCGAAAGTGAACAACAAAATAGCATCACTTGCTGACCAATCAGCTATATCACTTGTCTTTGAACATAACTATTTGAGACTTTCTTTCCTACTGAGTTTGCATTCTTTAGTAATTAATGTCACGTTCCCATTTTAGGATGTGACTTTACGTTTTTTGGATTTGCCAAAATTTACACAACGGATGTCGTCGATGAAGGTCAACACGCTTCACATTCCAGAACGCCTGATTTTAACATCTTTTTTCAGTGGCCAGTTTTGAGATGTTGCTGTCGGCAACAAATGAAGACTACCCCATATCAATCGCTACACCAGTATTAAGGAAATGCTGAGAAAAGATCACTTATGCAAAAGCAGTTTCTTGTTTCTCACTTTCTGCTCCTAATATCATATGCAGCGCAAAAATTACTTCTAAAGAACCGCTACGCAAAAGCTTTCCGATACAAAAATCCCTGATTTATAATGATGTAAAAACGACAAAAAATCATTTTAACAGAGCCTTGATTCAAACTCAAATTCGATCAACTATGAACAAAAGAAAGAAAAGTGTCAAGCATAATCTTTGCGCTGCATCATTTTACTTTAGCCGTAAGGAAGGTGTCATTTAATTTTGTAGATTTTATCATTCTTCTATCATTCTTAATCAAAGTACTGGTCGGGAACTTGTTGATATAACTTATTGTGTAAATATATCCTCTAGTAAAGATGATGATAAAGCATTAACATACCTGTTCTTCGTGAGTTCTGTATTTTCTCTCTGCAATTGCTCTACCTGTCCATGCACACTTCTGTGGAAATATCAAATCGATTTTACATTTGATTTGGACAGTGTGACTATCAAAATTAGCCATTCACTGGCGTTTTCCCTTTAAATGGCTGTACAAAAAACACACAAGTTATATATCCTCGGTATGATAACAAATTATATATCTCAAACATGTTCACATATACCCACGAAATGTCAACAAATTATATATTCCAAACATGCTCACAAATACCCATGAAATGTCAACAAATTATATATCCCCAACATGCTCACAAATACCCACGAAATGTCAACAAATTATATATCCCCAACATGCTCACAAATACCCACGAAATGTCAACAAATTATATAACCCCAACATGCTCACAAATACCCACGAAATGTCAACAAATTATATATCCCCAACATGCTCACAAATACCCACGAAATGTCAACAAATTATATATCCCCAGCATGCTCACAAATACCCACGAAATGTCAACAAATTATATATCCCCAGCATGCTCACAAATACCCACGAAATGTCAACAAATTATATATCCCCAGCATGCTCACAAATACCCACGAAATGTCAAACAAGTTACTAATGTTAATGCATATATCCCGGGTATAACAGATCATCTCTTAAAACACTTGCGTACCTGTTTTTTGAGAGGTCCGACTTCTCCTTCTCCAGTCGTTTAACCTTATCTTCTAGGTCTTTTCTTGAAATTGATAAGACATTTTTTACTGTAGTTTTTTAGTAGCAGGACAATTTATTTTCTGTCCCCAATTTCATGCAAAATCTATAAATATAATTTCGTAAAACAAGCACAATAATGTCGATTCCATTTGGTTCAAAATCCATTCTTAGTTTAGGTTTGCGAAAGTGAACAACAAAATAGCATCACTTGCTGACCAATCAGCTATATCACTTCCATGTCTTTGAACATAACTATTTGAGACTTTCTTTCCTACTGAGTTTGCATTCTTTAGTAATTAATGTCACGTTCCCATTTTAGGATGTGACTTTACGTTTTTTGGATTTGCCAAAATTTACACAACGGATGTCGTCGATGAAGGTCAACACGCTTCACATTCCAGAACGCCTGATTTTAACATCTTTTTTCAGTGGCCAGTTTTGAGATGTTGCTGTCGGCAACAAATGAAGACTACCCCATATCAATCGCTACACCAGTATTAAGGAAATGCTGAGAAAAGATCACTTATGCAAAAGCAGTTTCTTGTTTCTCACTTTCTGCTCCTAATATCATATGCAGCGCAAAAATTACTTCTAAAGAACCGCTACGCAAAAGCTTTCCGATACAAAAATCCCTGATTTATAATGATGTAAAAACGACAAAAAATCATTTTAACAGAGCCTTGATTCAAACTCAAATTCGATGAACTATGAACAAAAGAAAGAAAAGTGTCAAGCATAATCTTTGCGCTGCTTCATTTTACTTTAGCCGTAAGGAAGGTGTCATTTAATTTTGTAGATTTTATCATTCTTCTATTATTCTTAATCAAAGTACTTGTCGGGAACTTGTTGATATAACTTATTGTGTAAATATATCCTCTAGTAAAGATGATGATAAAGCATTAACATACCTGTTCTTCGTGAGTTCTGTATTTTCTCTCTGCAATTGCTCTACCTGTCCATGCACACTTCTGTGGAAATATCAAATCGATTTTACATTTGATTTGGACAGTGTGACTATCAAAATTAGCCATTCACTGGCGTTTTCCCTTTAAATGGCTGTACAAAAAACACACAAGTTATATATCCTCGGTATGATAACAAATTATATATCTCAAACATGTTCACATATACCCACGAAATGTCAACAAATTATATATTCCAAACATGCTCACGAATACCCACGAAATGTCAACAAATCATATATCCCAAACATGCTCACAAATACCCATGAAATGTCAACAAATTATATATCCCCAACATGCTCACAAATACCCACGAAATGTCAACAAATTATATATCTCAAACATGCTCACAAATACCCACGAAATGTCAACAAATTATATATCCCCAGCATGCTCACAAATACCCACGAAATGTCAACAAATTATATATCCCCAACATGCTCACAAATACCCACGAAATGTCAACAAATTATATATCCCCAGCATGCTCACAAATACCCACGAAATGTCAACAAATTATATATCCCCAACATGCTCACAAATACCCACGAAATGTCAACAAATTATATATCCCCAACATGCTCACAAATACCCACGAAATGTCAACAAATTATATATCCCCAGCATGCTCACAAATACCCACGAAATGTCAAACAAGTTACTAATGTTAATGCATATATCCCGGGTATAACAGATCATCTCTTAAAACACTTGCGTACCTGTTTTTTGAGAGGTCCGACTTCTCCTTCTCCAGTCGTTTAACCTTATCTTCTAGGTCTTTTCTTGAAATTGATAAGACATTTTTTACTGTAGTTTTTTAGTAGCAGGACAATTTATTTTCTGTCCCCAATTTCATGCAAAATCTATAAATATAATTTCGTAAAACAAGCACAATAATGTCGATTCCATTTGGTTCAAAATCCATTCTTAGTTTAGGTTTGCGAAAGTGAACAACAAAATAGCATCACTTGCTGACCAATCAGCTATATCACTTGTCTTTGAACATAACTATTTGAGACTTTCTTTCCTACTGAGTTTGCATTCTTTAGTAATTAATGTCACGTTCCCATTTTAGGATGTGACTTCACGTTTTTTGGATTTGCCAAAATTTACACAACGGATGTCGTCGATGAAGGTCAACACGCTTAACATTCCAGAACGCCTGATTTTAACATCTTTTTTCAGTGGCCAGTTTTGAGATGTTGACGTCCGCAACAAATGAAGACTACCCCATATCAATCGCTACACCAGTATTAAGGAAATGCTGAGAAAAGATCACTTATGCAAAAGCAGTTTCTTGTTTCTCACTTTCTGCTCCTAATATCATATGCAGCGCAAAAATTACTTCTAAAGAACCGCTACGCAAAAGCTTTCCGATACAAAAATCCCTGATTTATAATGATGTAAAAACGACAAAAAATCATTTTAACAGAGCCTTGATTCAAACTCAAATTCGATCAACTATGAACAAAAGAAAGAAAAGTGTCCTAAACAAGTACAAGGAAAATAAGACCAGGTGTTCTGAAAGGATAAGCATCTCCTGCTTCATAGACGACACCTGTTATTTAAATCCTGGCCAATCGATGCTACTTTTTCAAACGAGAATAGTTACGGAACTAGAATGGATATTGACGAGCATCAACTACGTTCATTATTTTTTATCGCAAAAGGACAACAACAGAGGTAGGTTTATATCAAATAAATCAAATAAATGTATCAACCTAAGATAAACTGCTATGTTTCCGCACAGGGTTCCTGTACCGCTCTGCATTGAGATAAAGAAAAGATAGTACTTTTTTAAAAGTCAAGAAAATAGATTGTACATATACCTCATTTCCTCTGTCTGAGTTAGCTGAACCTTACATGTTTGTAGATTTTTTCTCAGTACATCATCGTCTTTGCTACAAAGGAACAATATTACAAATTATGTTTTATAACAATAGTGTATATCATAGTGTGTACAAAAAAGTTATCTTTTATAGAAAAGACTTTTTTCTTCCCATAAGTCTCAAATTGATACTATTTACACTGTACTTACGACAAGTTCCAATCTACACATTCCGACTGACTCTACTTACGACACATTTGAATGACATGTTTGTTTTGAAACCGATTAGAACATTTTAAAAATCAGTTTTGAAAGGCATGTGTATAGAAAGAAAAATGGATTTCCGTGTTTTAAATATGTATATATTTAACAAGCTTATCAATACCTATGTATGTGCAAAAATGATTGGAAGAAAAAATGCTTGAAAGAAAAGATATATGATGCTTCCATTACAAGTGAAATCCAAGTATAGTAATGGTATCATAGTAAAACTTTGTACAAACCTTTGTTGTATCTCTGCGCTGAAATGTCAATAATTGTCGTTATAAGTATACAGGAATATATAGCACTGAAACGCATACTGTTGGATTATTTAGCTTTCCTCACACTATCACTTCTATATACTAGGTAAATTACTCTGTTAATAGATGTTTTGCAAAAGTACATGTTAAATCATTGCCCATTTACAAAAACTAAAAAACAAAAAAAAAAAAAAAAAAAGAAGAAATGGGCAGATCTAGTATTCCTACTCAACACCTAACAAATAATACCTTCTAAATATGATTCTGATCGAGTAAAGCAGAGGCAGACTATAGACATTTGACAGAGGCAGACTATAGACATTTGACAGAGGCAGACTATAGACATTTGACAGAGGCAGACTATAGACATTTGACAGAGGCAGACTATAGACATTTGACAGAGGCAGACTATAGACCATTTGACAGAGGCAGACTATAGACATTTGACAGAGGCAGACTATAGACCATTTGACAGAGGCAGACTATAGACCATTTGACAGAGGCAGACTATAGACCATTTGACAGGGGCAGACTATAGACATTTGACAGAGGCAGACTATAGACCAGTTGGCAGAGGCAGACTATAGACCATTTGACAGAGGCAGACTATAGACCATTTGGCAGAGGCAGACTATAGAGCATTTGACAGGGGCAGACTATAGACATTTGACAGAGGCAGACTATAGACCAGTTGGCAGAGGCAGACTATAGACCAGTTGGCAGAGGCAGACTATAGACATTTGACAGAGGCAGACTATAGACATTTGACAGAGGCAGACTATAGACCAGTTGGCAGAGGCAGACTATAGACCATTTGACAGAGGCAGACTATAGACCATTTGGCAGAGGCAGACTATAGAGCATTTGACAGGGCAGACTATAGACATTTGACAGAGGCAGACTATAGACCAGTTGGCAGAGGCAGACTATAGACATTTGACAGAGGCAGACTATAGACATTTGACAGAGGCAGACTATAGACATTTGGAACCAAGTGTTACCTTCTGTATTCAGGGTTTATTCTATCTCTACATGGTATTCCAATATAAATCCGATCTGAACATAAACTATGTTTTTTGGTCAATTTGCTTGTCATTTCACATGATCGCCCTATAGACAGACTAAGGATCGTCCGAGTTTTTGTACTGAGTTCTAAATGCTGTTCGAGAATCCGAAGCTGATGAGGACCGGTCCTAAATGGTTTAACTTCCGGGATGGCTAATCATATGTTTTTAGGAAAAGCGACAACACAACCTGCAATTATTCTTCGCGTTTAAAAGGTATAAAATGTTATATATTTTTAAGGATTGAAAGGCATATGTGTTTGTCCTATACATGTTGCGCTGAATATTTTTTAATAAAAGATCGACTAACATTGTGCCTGCTTTTAAATTTCCACATAATACCGTTGGCACATTCGTCATCATTCACGTGGAAGCATCAAAGCGTTTTTGCCAAAACGCCTGTAGTGACATTTTGATACATTCAAACAAAAATGGTTTCGGGTGTATATGGTATCAGTATCTCAATAAAATATATCTGTTAAAATACGTACTTTTGTGACCCAGTTGTATTTTTCAATTTTGGTGGTGGTAGTTCTGCATTTGATTCAAATCTGAAAATATCATTTATGGCTTGAAAAAGCAAACGGGTTCGTGATATGTTTGATATTTCTACGACACAAAAACAAAGCAAACAAACGGATCACTCATTTGATTGATAAAAAGTGGTATCGATTTCTTATTGAAATAAATTTATGCGCGTTTGAATATATTTTAAATTAAAACCAGTATATATCGCTAACTAAAATGGAGACACAATATCGCCAGTCTTTGGTAGACAATATGTCCGCTTTCAAATGATTACATTTATCATAACTGAATAAAGGAGATGTTAACGTTAGGAAATACAATTTCGTGACGTTCAATATTTCAAAGTCAACTAATCGGTCAGTTCAACGTTTGTACGCAGACTTCGAGAGATAACATAACGACGGATCGTCCTAAGGTAAATTTGTCATGTCAGGGTTCGTCACTGGACTCAACAAGGGTCGTCATTAATTAACGCTGACCTGTCACTGGTCATCAATTATTAACTATTACACCATCCTGTCACAGGTCGTCACGTGACACGGATCATCACGGGCATACATCTTCCTGTCACATGTCGTCACGAGCTTACGGAACCCTGATATAGATCACCAAGGCCTTACACCATCCTGTCACATGTCGTCAGGAGCTTTCGGAACCCTGATATAGATCATCACGGGCTTACATCATCCTGTCACATGTCGTCAGGAGCTTACGGAACCCTGACATGGATCATCACGGGCTAACATCACCCTGTCACATGTCGCCACGAGCTTACGGGACCCTGACAAAGAACATCACGGGGTTACGCCTTCCTATTACAAGTCGTCACGAGCTTAAGCGACCCTGACAAGGACCACCATCGCCTTACACCATCCTGTATATGATATGTATAATAAATTATAAAATCATATATATAATTTGCCTATATGAAAATCTGGACAGGTGTAACAAGCATGTAATAAAATGGCGTTTCTATCACAACAATACAATTAATGTACATACGCTTTCTCTATTTGGTCAACATCCTCTTCATAGCGTGATAATCTCACTAACAACTTCTGTATGAAAACAATAGCCCTAAAGCAAAGAATCACAACAAAAATATACAAAAAGTGAACCAACTTCATTTTTATGTCTATCATATTTTTGTAAGATTTCTTATTATTTTCTAAACTGCAAATTCCTAAAGTTGATTCGACATATATGGAATTGAAATAATGTCTGATTATTATAATTAGATAATTATATTATATATATATATTATATTATTATAATATCTGATATCTACCTTCGATTGTTGTCATTTGATAAGCCAAGTAGGAACTCATTCGGTGTCGCTCGCCCACTGTGGAGAAGTTAAAAATGTGTTCTATTAGACGTTTTCTGTGATACATGATTATCCTCTCAGTCAATCTGTCGTGTTTATGGCATTACGTCTGGGGTAATTTCCACTTCCACATAAATTCATGATAGGTAAAAAGACAATGCAGAAGTAAGGCGTATCCTTACATCCTTAAATGATATTTCTGTAAATGTGACCTTGTCTTCAGAGGTGTTAGATAGTAAGATACCTTAGGAAAATAGAACAATGACGCAGATAATGTCAAGTCTATAGTTTGTAAATATATCATATAAAGTTTGAGTAAAAATAAGTTTGCTGCGATCAAGTAGTTTGTTTTTCGTTTATTGACAAGACAGATACAATAAATCATTTTCACTAAGGCTAAACTCTTTCTTTCCATTACAAAGACTGAGAAATGTGTGATTCTATAATAACGGCTGCAGAAACGCGCCTGAACGATTTATTAACTGTTAAACTAGCCAGGAGCGTCGACAATTTTCCACTACAGCATCAACAATATTGGACTTTATGATCTCCTGAAAACCTTGTTTGAATGCAACTATTCTCATTGCTCCGAAACATATAGCATTAACTCAGCAATAAATATGATAATGGTAAACAGGTTTGAACTGCAGTCAGGAAATATTTATGCTTGATAGAGAAATCTGTTATCAGAATGACGTAATATACAGACCTTTAACATAGTCTATAAATGACTATTTAGACCAGTTATATTTGATAGAAAAAACTGCCATCAGAATGACGTAATATACAGAGCCTTTATAATCACCCTCCCCTTCCTATAACAATAATACACGTTGACCAGGCTACGCTCTTCACATTATCCAATAGCTTACATAACAGATACGTCCATTATTGTGTTAGCATCGGTCAGTTGGTAAGCTTAGTGTTATATCGTTATTAGACAGTTTTAGTTCTGTTGGGATGATGTGGAACACTATGAAAGCAGTTCCTATACCTATAATATACAGGTTAGTTGTCAGGTTAGCTAGGCAATGTAGACCTGTGTACATGTGGAACGTTTCCTTACCAACGATTGGCTTTCTTTACGTGGGCTTATACAACACACAGGTAGGGAATACATCCACGTAGATTTTTTTCTTGTTTCACTCATGTCGTTCAGTCATATAACATTAATATACATCAGAAAATACTGCTGTTGATACAGATGATGTATCATAATGTAAGAATGAGAGACAGAACACTTTCTGTCACAACCAAATATCAATATTCAACTTAACATATCATCAGACAGCTATGAGATGTGAGAAACAATACAAGCTGTGAAAAAGAGGGACGATAGCAGAAATTAACAATGATCACACATGATGTCGATTTGAAGAGAGAAATGTATGTAAGGAGTCTACAAACATTGAAAATAAAACTAAGTAGGCAATAAAACTGTAGAGCCTTAACCTTAATACATGTGATTATCAATACTGAAAGGATAAAGATAAAATTGTTTGTACTGAATAGACATAGTTATAATTATATAATCATAGCCGAATATTACGGCACCTTATATCAAAATAAATGCTAAAAGTCATCCATGACACAGGTGTTATCCAAATCCGATGCGCCTAGATTACCAATATACCGTAACTGTGCAAATGCATGCGTTCTTTTCCATTCAAACTAGTGATGATTCAGACCATCATCATGACCCCTGATTGCCATACAATCAATAATTCACAAATTTGCCATGGCTATCCCAACTTGATAGAGGGCGGGGTCTCACAATGCCAAAGCGTTTATTTAACTTCAACATCTAGACTTTTCCCTTGAAGGCGTTGGAGGTCCATGCTCTTCATCGACGTGTGTGCCATCGTCGAGAGGATCGTCTTGCAGACGCTTGTGTTTTTGGCGCATGACAAATTCGGGGGCGGCTACGTTATGGTTTGGGAGGAAGTTCCCATTGTTTAAAGATACCTCTAATGGTAATTATCCGGAAATTTACGACTGTCTGCTATCGAAATGAGATTCTGAGGCCTCATGTTATGCCTTTCATTATAAGGCATCATCTGACCTTTCAGCAAGATAACGCTAGGCCCCACGTTGCTAGACTTTGTAGGGACTTTCTTGGAACCCAGAATATCGTCCTTATTGATTTGCCTCCATAATAGCCCCGACTTGTCACTAAACCCCTTATGAACTCCATGCCATGCAGAATTAAAGACGCTATAGCTGTTCAGATTAAGAATCGGTCTGACAACTGTCGTTATTTCAACTTTGTTTACCTTAGAGTACCCTAATTCAGGACGAACTAATGAAGTCCTCATTGGTTTAAAATCTCAGAAAAATTTAAGACAAATGGTCCTGTATTGAGCCATTTTGTTCATGAATAGAATCTTATTAAACTTTATGAGTGGAGTTTCTTTTCTTTTCATCTTGGTGTATTAATCTCTGTTATCATCATATCACTGGACATTTTGATAAATGGCCTAGAGATTGGTTTCCCAAAACTTCAAACCCTCTGGTAAAGCGTAATTAAAATCTGCAGAAATGACTTGAAATTGGAAAAACTCAGTTCTATAGTCGCCAAAATAATTATTCTTTCATGTATCGCTCTGTGCTAATTCACAAGACTATCGGTCTTAATTAATCTCTAGGTAACATTTTAAACACAATTCGCAAAATCTCGTCTTCATAATTCGAAATTTCTATTGCTTTACAGGTTTTTTTTTTTTAAATCATCGATATTGGCAATGATTAATGTTATGTATATATTTTCCATAGAGTAATAAAATCTGCTGCCTTTAACTGAGCAAGATCAGGGTATCTCAGTCGAGGGCAGGAACATAAACCCAATCGAGGCGTCAGCCCATGTAAGGATGTTACAGGATCTTAGTCCGATACTGAGATGCCCCGATCTCGCTCAGTTACAGGTAATAGATTTTTTCTCGCACCTAGTACTCTAAAAATTACTCAATATTTCATCAGAGTTTGGCGTATCCCGTGGGAGCCTCAAACTACCCACACAGCCTCTTCACTTGTAAACAACGTTTGGATAGTTCCGCGTAAACAATGTAGGCCGCACTTACAAAAATACAACACATTTTAAAGTGAAGATTTTTCTATTTCATTTTAAATATAACTAATTAAATAAAATATCGTTGATATTTCAACAACGACATAACCTCCATGTTTATTGTTGAAATACACAGGTGTAGGTGCCACCTACGCCTTCAAGCGGATGAATAAAAAATCCGCGAAAACGCACGTAAGAGAACTAGACAGATCGCTTTTTGCTTGGGATATCCCTGTCTGAGGTGCGAGAACAAGGATTATCTCATAAACAATTTGTTTTTTTCTGGAATTCTAAAAATGACAATGCTTTAGCACGACTGCTGCATCTCTACAGCTCCCGTAAACAAACGAAGGGACAAAGGATTACAATGTTGTATATATTGTACCTGACTTTAAAACATCATGTCCAAACTGTTTTGTGAACGATGTCGAAACATCAGTG